TTTTATTTCATAATACGCGCTTTAAATAATACTATCAGTGCCATCTAGTAACAAGCAGGAAAGTTAGTAACCAAAATGGTGCTCTGTATGTAAGTACTTGCATACAAATACCTTATAAGATTTTTTAATTTCAATTTCTACCACTAGAAGCGCTGTGATAAAATAGTAGTCGTAGTTGATATTGCAGGGTGTGACACAAAAATGGAATTCCTATCGGTACAATAGGATCTGATGTACAAATGGTGAAAGGACTTTACAACTTCCAGAATTGTGTGGTACAAAAATGCATCGTGAATATTCTATCCTATATTTTTTTGTTATTTGGGAGTTTAAACAAATTAACTCAGGTGTCACTACGTTAGTGCATTGATGCATAACTTGCAGTACAATAATTTTCTTCACAAATGCACGTTGTATTTTTTCCCGTTATAACACTTAACACGCATGTTATATGAATAATTAACATTTCTGCGTTAGCATCGTTATCTTCATATCCTTGTGTCTAAAAATACATTTAAAATGTTTAATCAAAAGATCTAAGATTAAGCAAAATAGCAGTGCTATGTCAACGTGTAAAGATAATCATTTAAAAGGGTGTGTAAAGGGTAACGTGTGACTGTGAAGAAGTTGGACTTTTAGTAATTCAAAATCGTACAATTCTTTTACAAGGTGATTCAAATTTATATTAATATTATAAGGTAAGCAAATTTATTGAAACATTTACAATAATTCTGTTTGAAATTTGTTACCACCTGTTGTTACGATAATAATCATGCTTCAATTTCTGCCGTGCGATTTGCCAGGTGATTGCCGTTTGCCGCGTGGCACGACCGAATACATACGAAAATTGCCGATTCGGTGGAACTGAAGCGTCGAAGCGTCAGTTGTACGTCAGACGTCATTCCGGTCGGACTGTTTCTGTGTTCTTCGATTCCGTAAGTAATTTTCTTACCTTACACGTTTATTCTTTTATTTCTTAGACTCTATTTATTTATTTCTCGATACAGAATATTTATAGAATTAAGAAATTTCAATATTAGTAATATTCTAATCACTCCGTATATCAACAACGTGACACTACTATTACAAGAAGCAATACAAAGCGAGTATTTTGAAAACAGTCACACATTCCTTATTTAAATATCTTTTCTGGTTAACAATAATCGATAATCAGTAGCATAGTGACACAATATTATTATAATTTCAACTAGATAGTTGTTCCCTTATGTGCATGATATTTGAATGTATACCGGTATTAAGTTATTATACAATTTGGAAAGATGATATTTCGTATCATTCAATAAGTGAACCAAGCAGTGATTGAATAACCGGTAGATCAACTTTTAGTCTTCGGTTTCGTCGATGCAGAAATTCATGTTAAACCTTAACCGTTTTCCTCGTCACTGTTCGTATCGATTTTGAAATCGTTGATCATCAAATGATATATCGTTCTTAGGGTACTCACACGCACGAGTTTGTGATTACACGTAGTAACATGTGAATCAGGATTGAGGATCATTACGAAATAGCCACTCCGGTAACATATGTTTTACACATTAGTTCAATATTCTTGTTTTCATCCCTGTTATTATACTATACACATTAGTATACGCAGCTGCGGTTCACGCGATATGACCTACTAATGAACTTTATTCAATCTTTTTTTACGTGGTAGCGTTGAAATTTATTAATTTTATACAATACGGAACGTAGGGTAGTCAAGTTTTTAAGGTATAAGAATTGTATTGTAATGACGATAAATTGCAAGATTTTGCTGTGAAAATAATGACGAGCAACGGTATTTTCAAATGTAATCTGCTGACGCAAGTATGATGTATCGAGATCTTCTTAAACACATGTCCTTTGCAAATTTCTCACAATGAAATCACTATTCTACAACCACTTACCCGGCGATCAGAAATAACCGTTAATCTTGATATTACCACCAGTTTTCACATATTAATGTATGTTAATTACTTCCCATAGCAATTAGGTTAAGAGGACAGGTTGTGCCATAGAACTTTGTTTTTCAACAGACTGAGGTACATATAAGCACGAATTAGCTATAGAACAACGTTTTGCTAACTTGTTAAAAATACACAGGTATCACGAGCCATTGATTACGATATCGTGCTGATATCAATTAACGCGACTTCCTTAGGTGATGCATAGTATACACGCGCAACGCGCTGTTAAGTTTAGTGATACTTAGAGGTTATTACTGTCAAAGACCGGCATTATTACGCATCTAGGACCGTGATATAAAAACGTTCGATATTTTTCATCTAGTTACAAGATCAGAATAGTGGAACGTTGGTTCGCGAAAGCAGACACGAATTAGCGTGTGAATCGTGCGCAACTTCGTAAGTGTATCTGATAGTCACGGAAAAGAAGAAGAAAATTCCCGGTCTCCTCGTGCATGATGAAAGCTCGTTCGGGTTCGTTTACCGTCTCACAAGGATGCTTGTAACACTCGTTGAAAAACAATATACTACATTTAGCGTACAGCTGCTTACCTGATCGTGTCGTTTCAAGTGTTCAGAATCAATTCGATTGATTTATTACGATTATAATTTACATACAAAACCGTCCATCTGTTACTTCGAAAGTTCAAACATATAAACCGCCATTTTGTCCGAAGCCTACGCTTTGACGTTACGCATTTATCTCGATGATTAGGTTATTTAATTAAACGTAAAGAGGATTATATCGAATTGGTATCCCGAATTGAAAAATGTTAATGAAGCCGGTTTCGGTCAGCTGATGAATTAATTACCGAGATAAACATTGGTGTGTCCTTAATCGTGACACGATTCACCGGGATCCTTGGTCGCGCGATCGCGTTCGCATGAATCATTGGCGATTCGATTCTCGTCTCCCAATATCGACTATCGCGTATATGGAAACGATTCTTTTTCCGCGATTATGTAACCACGCTCGTCTCAGTTATCGTTGTAATTATCTCAACAATGCGAATAGCAAGGCGCTACAAGGACTTTACCATGCGAATTTTATCGTTATTTCCATGTGACGAATTTAAAAAAAAAATTCTTCATTCTGTCGAAAATTAATTTACATGATTTTTTGAAATAAACGATTGTACTTTCCGTTGAGGTAGTCGAACGATAGACAGGAGAGATATTAAATAGCGCAGTATGTCACCGTACGCACGAAATCACATCCCACGATTCAATCTAAACGTTGAAAGCGGTTGATGACGATGATCGCACGAAGGTTGTTCCAATTAATATTAAACTGCGAAATAATGATACTACCGTACGTGAGCGCATTAACGAACAACCCGTGTGCACGTTATTTTGCTCCTCCATAATCTACGATGAGATAATGCGCTCAACTTACTGTTTATTAGATGCGCCTTATCGTTTCTTTCGTCCGTATAGATTGATATAAAGGAGAGCGATAAGGAAACGAATCGGAGAGTTATCAAAAAACATACGTTGAATAAGAAATGGTAAGAGGGTTGAATGTTTAGAAACGCCAGTGTATTTCAAGTATTCATGATTTTTCTTTCCTCCGATCCTGTCCTTTTGTTCAAGAGAGACGGGTCGTTGGCCGCACTTTATGGTCTGAGGTGCCAACGCTCCATTCTAATGTAATCTCCATTGTAAATCCGTTGTCGAGCCTCTTACCTCTGTATATTTTCATCTTGTTTCATTATTTTCTCGCTCGAACGTACACCTGATTACTTAGTACGTATAACCCGATGATAATAATTGCTGTAATAATTTCTTCGTGTCACGTGCATTCGCGTTACTCGTGTTCGATTCTAGCAGCGTACAACGATGATTGTATAAAGATTATGGAATTGATCCGACAATAGACGTAACATCTAATTACACATTGGCTACATAACGCGTGAACGTAATGCGTAATGAGTATATTCGTCGAAGGTGAAGTAGCTGTCCCGAGTTCGTTGACCGTGACAACAGATAGGTGGCTCTTACTTTCTCGCAGTGACGAAATCGAACAAGCGCCACGGACTGTGTCTAGACTCGTAGCCACAGTTCAGGTCAGTCGATACGCGAGGAAAAACAATGATTCAGGTGCATTTACCTAGTCTCGTATTCTACCGTCACGTCCAACCAGTCGGGGAAAAAAATGTACACGCCGCGAACTTTCTACCGTGGATTGTTCAGAGAACAGGTGCTGTTTAACCGCCCTTAAACAGAATCTTGTAACCGAATGTTTAAATTTTGTCGAAAAACACGTGCCCGCTGAAGCGCGTCTCCCTGTTCCTGACCGTCAGCTCCACCTGCTATTTCCTGCTTCCTTTCCCCTGATTCATTCGTTTCGTTCCATTGCAGCGCTTAAACGAATTGAGAAATTTCCAGGAATATTTTGTGTATCTGTTTCGCGTTAACGGGATCCCACTCGAAGCTATGTAATATGCAATGAAGTACAGTATCGCTGTATTAATATAACAGCAATTTACTATCTCCATTCACCGGTAAATGATAATAAATTTACAGTATTTATCATCGGTAAGTTAATAAATGATTTTAAACGAGTAATACGTATAGGAATCTGTATATTAGCGTGATGCAGTCTTGGTTCACGTTTCAAGGATCGATGCAAGGATTCTACCGGTTGCTTTTACCGTTACGATACTTCTAACGGGATGCTGGGAATGCGACAGCCGAAACCATTCCTTTCTCGTGCTTTCTAGATCAGCAATGCGAAGGATAGAATAATGTTTGCTGGAAATTCTTATCTAGTCATTGACTCGAAGTCGTTTCTCTACCTTTCGTTCTACGCTCGTTGTTCTAAGTAATTCTATGTCTGGAATTACATTTGCAGTGTGGCAACACACGCGTTCGTGTTACGCTTTTAATTTCTTTGAAAAGACGTCGTCGGTGATCGTTTCCCCATAATTTACCGAGGGCAACCGTGTCATCCTGGCGGCGGTGCAGCGTACCGCTTCAAAGCGCACCGCCATATTGGTTCGCGGCAGCGTTTTCAAAATTTTGTCACGGTCGCTAGCTGTTCGTATAACAACGGTGCACCAGCACGTGACGACCTTTACACGTCCAATGACTGTCATATTTAACGATATGCAAAGCGACATGCTCGAGGACGTTACAATTTTTTTTTTAAACGATCAGCTCGATGTTTGTCAAAGTCCAATTTTTGTACTTAAAATTTTACGTTTTAAACGAGTATCTTAAGTTGCAACGCAATCAGGTAGAAACGAATTCGTAGTATCTATAGTAGGGAGAACTTTCCCACGAAAATATGAAATTTTATTTCATTCAATAACAGGCTCCTGAAATGTACATTAATTATGCGAATCATTTCGATGAATCATGATCCTCGGTGTTGTACGTATCGCTCTCTTATCTTGATCACGATATTGACACACGGTAGACTGATAAAAATCCAGAAATTTCGATGCGTGTCACATGCCAAACACATTAGTCAGTGATCAAAGGTAACGACTAGTACAATTAAACTTAACTCGAATATATTCCGATTATTTGACATATGGTTGCGCAGGTTAGTTACCTTGTCACTCTCGAATATTGTGTATGTACACTGTGTAAGTATATGGGTGTGTGTGTTATGTTATGAAACAGAATTCGTGACTCGAAACTTGTTATTTCATAGCGATACAAAGTTTTTGCATTAAGAATCGTAGAATTCCGTCTGGTTCTTGGTACGAGGCCTTCGTTCATTTCGTCGAGGGTCGTTTAAAATCCTCATCGAACGGCGACACTTTTGATGCTTCTTTCATCAATATACACAGTGGAATCCGATTCCTTCGCCTAATCTTTTCTCAGACAGCAGCGACGGTGATTTAATTAACCATTTCTCACTCGCTTTTTTCCTTTTAATCGTTCGTTTCGTCGAAGATAAAATAATAAGATACTTTGTCATTTCTCGAAAGTTAACGGCTCCACTTGCGTTGGCGCACGCGTGTTAAAGAATTTCCTTCTGCATTTGTAATCCTTCAGTCGCGCCGGAAGCGCGTAAAAATTGTTCCTTTCACCGGAAACGATCCTCTAGTTCAAGAGAAAGTGGCGAGAAATGAATTCGCTTGTAATAATTCGTTTGTCGAATTGTTCGGTTTAATGGAAACTTACAGTGCTATCTTTTTTCTGTGAATTTTCCGTTATTTTTAAATAATTATCTCAGAGGAGAAATTAAATTAATAATCAATTATATTCGGAGTTGATGTATTATTAACTAACTGATTATACAAATAAAATTTATTCCATTTGGTTTGTTAATTTAGAATCTATCATTAGGTTACATTTATATTTTACAAATTAATTATGTTAAATAAACTAGTGAATATTTTTTATAAATTTCTAGGAAATCGTTTAAATGCTTTTCATAACATAAACAGTATTTAAATTATTTTACAATCAATAGGAGTTGTTTTTTACATGACAACTGATTGACATGACAAACATCAGGAACGGATTAAGGTACCATTGTAATATGTAATTATAGTTGAGACGTTTCAATGATAATTCATAAATGCATGTCAGAATGAATTCCGAAGGTTCTTGTTTTCGTTTTAAAGTGCAGGCCGGTATGGAGAACCAGCAGGTGTGGGTGCGAGACCCTCAAGAGGGTTTCATAATCGGCAAGTTCACGGACATGGTCGATGGGGATGCGTTGATCGTGCCACTGGATCCGAAATATCCACAGCGCACCTGTCCGTTGGAAGAAGTTTATCCTGCTGGAGAATACACTAAAGACGTCGAAGACAATTGTAAATTCAACTTCTTCAAATTCGCTTTTTTTTTCTCTTTTTTAAAAATCTACTTTCACCATTTTGCTCCGTTTTTCATCTTTCCAGGTGCTCTGATGTACCTGAACGAGGCCACGCTTCTGAATAACATACGGACTCGTTATTTCAAGGATAGAATATACGTGAGTAAATCTATTCGGTTAGGTTTCAAAATGATGAACTAAAATAAACACGTTAGATTATTCGATCTTTGAAATACAATTTTATTGAACATTTTCCAGACTTACGTTGCGAATATTTTAATTGCTGTCAATCCTTACTGCGAAGTTAGAGATCTGTACTCGCCTCAAACCATCAAGGCTTATCAAGGAAAATCATTGGGAGAGACACCTCCGCATGTTTTCGCTATTGGTATATCCTTGTTTACGAAGGCTATCCTAGCTTGATATTGAAATAATTACTTCTTTGTTATTCCCCAGCCGACAAAGCATTCAGGGATATGAAAGTATTGAAACAATCGCAGAGCATCATCGTCTCCGGTGAGTCTGGAGCAGGGAAAACTGAATCAACGAAGTATCTTCTTCGGTATCTTTGTGATTTATGGGGATCAACCGCCGGACCAATTGAACAAAAAATTTTAGATGGTACATTTTGATATTAGGAATATCTACTACGTCTTATTTTCTATGTACCTTTTAACATAATCAATCCTGATCCTGTTTAGCTAATCCAGTATTGGAAGCCTTTGGAAACGCGAAAACCAAACGGAACAATAATAGCTCACGGTTTGGTAAATTTATGGAGGTGCATTTCGACTCGAAATGCCAAGTAGTCGGCGGTTATATCTCTCATTATCTTTTGGAAAAATCAAGAGTCTGCCTTCAAAGTCCTGACGAGAGAAACTATCATGTGTTTTACATGATGTGCGCCGGTGCGCCTCCTGAACTTCGCGCTAAACTTGGTATCACAAAGCCGGATGACTTCCATTACTTGAAGAACGGTTGCACACAGTACTTTTGCAACGAAGAGTCGGAGAAGAAGTTGAACGATGTTCAAAAGAGTCGCGATCAAGTTACGAAAGGCAGTTTACACGATCCTATTCTGGATGATGTTCAAGGATTCAGTGCCATTGATCAGGTCAATATTTTGAACATAAAACAATTATATTTGTTGTTTTTTAACTTGTATCATTTTTGTTAAATGATATATCTTCGTGAAAAACGTTTTATATACTTATTTTACATTTTTCTCTTTTTTTGGCTGATTGGATAATTTTTTCAACACAGGAAAAGGCAACGGTAATACCGATAGTTCCTTAACTATCATCAAACGCACGTTTCATTTTACTGCAAATGTTTTTTAAACTTAAATTTAATTTATTTCATCTCAGATATTTCTTTAGCTCTTTTTTCATCACTTTTTGTACAAGAGTTATTTTTTATGCATGTGTGACCTATGTTTGGTGTTTTGTTTAAATATTTTTACAAAGGCCTTGACCCGACTCGGTTTGACCGAAGGAGAAAGAATGGAAATTTACACCATGGTGGCTGCGGTACTTCACCTTGGAAATATTATGTTCGAAGACAATCCCGAGGACACGAAGGGTGGTTCCAGGATATGTGCGGATTCAGAGAAGGCAGTGTTAATGTCGGCAAAGTTGTTGGCTGTAGATCCTGAGGAACTTAGGCAAGCTTTAGTTTCGAAAGTGATGCAGACTAGTCGAGGTGGTATCAAAGGAACTGTTATTATGTAAGTATCTCTAAACGATTGTATAGAACAGAGAAAAAATGATAATTATTGATACGTTTCATTTCGAAGGGTACCATTGAAAGTTTATGAAGCTAATAATGCTAGAGATGCTCTGGCTAAAGCCATTTATAGTAAATTATTTGACCACATCGTAGCCCGTATCAACAAAAGTATACCTTTTAAGGCTTCTAGTTACTATATCGGTGTCTTAGATATCGCAGGATTTGGTGTGTAACGAATTATTCAAGTTCTCTAATTAATAGACGTTTAACTGATACCATCGTTCCTGTTTTATAGAGTATTTCAAGGTGAATAGCTTTGAACAATTTTGCATAAATTACTGCAATGAAAAATTGCAACAATTTTTCAATGAAAGAATCTTGAAGTACGAGCAGGACCTCTATGCCAGAGAATCCCTTAATGTGCCGAAGATATCTTACGTTGACAATCAAGATTGCATCGGTAAGTATAATTTCGCTAATATACAAACATTTTTAAATAAAATTTAACATTCAATTTATGGTTCTAGACTTAATTGAGTCGAAAAACATGGGAATATTCAGCCTGTTAGACGAGGAATCGAAATTGCCAACTCATAGTTTTGCGCATTTCACTAGCGAGGTTCATCGTGTTTGGAACGGTCATTTCAGAATAACTTTACCGCGAACTTCTCGTTTGAAAGCTCACAGAGAATTGCGCGATGACGAAGGATTTGTAATTCGTCACTATGCCGGTGGTGTTTGTTATCAAACAGTATGTTATCGTACATTAAACGCTTTCTATACTTGGGATGTTTTCTTAAGTGCATTTGAAAGACTCTCTCGAATAATTTTCAGAATCAATTTATCGAGAAAAATAACGATGCGTTGCACGCGTCTCTAGAAGCATTAATTCAAGAAAGTAATAACCAGTTCCTTAGAACGCAGTTTGCCAATAATTCTTGCCAGAAAGGGAAACTAACTTTCATCAGTGTCGGCAGCAAATTTAAAACGCAGCTTGGAGAATTGATGAATAAATTAAAAAGCAATGTAAGTAATTCTTTTCTTCAAATTTTCTTTTCTACAATTTCTTTTTTTTCTTTTTTCTTTTCACAGGGAACGAATTTCATTCGTTGTATTAAACCAAACAACGACATGGTGGATCATCAGTTCGACGGAAACAGTATTTTAGGACAGCTTCGCTGTTCCGGTATGACCTCTGTTTTGGAACTCATGGAACACGGTTATCCGAGCAGAGTTCCGTTCCAAGAATTATACAACATGTATAAATCGTATCTTCCTCCGGAACTGGCGAAATTGGAGCCCAGGTTTTTCTGTGAAGCGTTACTTCACAGTTTGAAACTAAATAAAAAAGATTTCAAATTCGGTATCACTCGTGTCTTCTTCAAACCAGGGAAGTTCGCTGAATTCGACAAGATCATGAAGTCTGATCCTGAGAACTTGAAGAAATTGGTAGCCAACGTGAAGAAATGGTTGCTTAGATCACGATGGAACAAGATGCAGTTCTGCGCGTTGTCCGTGATTAAACTGAAGAACAAGATCATTTATAGAAGGCAACATTTGATCATATTACAGAAGACAGCGAGAATGTACATAGCCAAGAAACAGCATCGACCACGTATAAAGGGGATCATGGAGATTAAGAACCTGAAGACGCAACTGGTTGGAATGGAAGAAACGTCGAAACAATTAAAGAATCGTGAAAAACATATGAGCGACATCAAGAAATTGCAAGACAATTTGGATGCAGCGATTAACAAGATCAAGAATAGTATGAAAATAAAAGAGACGGAAATCGATAATCTTTATACGAATTTGGTTAATCAAGTGAATAAAGAAATGGCGTCGCTTCAAGATATGGTCAGGCAACAGAAGATTGCCGAAGAGCAGGCAAAATTAAGAAAGATTCAACAAGAATTGGAGCTTGAGAAACAAAGAAAAGATGAAGAAGAACGACAGAAGAGGGAAGAGGAAGAGAACAGGAAAAAGAAACACGAAATTGAGACGAGAAGAAAAGCAGAAGAAGAACAAAAGAGAAGACAGGAAGAGGAAGATAAAAAAACCGCTGCAGCTTTGCAAGTGTGTATTCGATTTTTACATAAAATGTGTTTCCCAAATAATTCAGAATAATTCATTTTAATCTCTGATCTGTTTCCAAGGCACAGTTAGAGAGAGAGGCGATGGAGGAAAATAGATATCGTGAATTATTGGAGCAGGAGAGAAGAGATCATGAATTGGCAGTCAGATTAGCTCAAGAATCAAACGGACAAGTCGAAGATTCACCGCTTCCTGTACGAAGGTATCGTATCGTGCTTCCATTTCACAGAAAGTTAAATAGTTGGAGTTTCATATATTATTATTATACTAATTGGAGGAAAGTAGAACAAGCTACGCTAGATAATAAACCAATTTTCTTTCTCGAACAAAAAAGCAACAGTAAAAATTTAACGAAATTAATCTTGCCAATCGAAGAAATTTACGAGCATTCAATAAGATATTATTTTCTTGAAATTGTACATATAGCGGTTCCGATGTACGAGTACCATCGAACAACAACAGGCTAGCAAGGTATTGTGAAATTTGTTGAGGTTTACTGTATCTATGACTAACAATACCGTAACACGGTTGATTTTTGTGATTAACTTGTTAACATATTTTACTTTTAACCTTAAAATTCTTGGTCTTTACTGTATAGGTGTTGGTGTTATTTTAAAAGTATCATTGCATGACGCCGTATTATGCATGGTTTGATTAGGAGAGAAATGCATATATCAATATTTATCAAATATTTTTTATGTTTGCAAGCTTAGAAAACAGTATGCTTCACTAAAAAAACCATTTAAATTTTCCTTTTATATCAGACATGTTATAAATAATTATCTCAAGTGTGCAGTACTTTACAATCTTCATTTAAAGTAATCTTTCTTTTTTCTTTTTAAACAACAGATCGGAGCAGGTGCGGAACAATCAAGCAGCTATGTCTAATAAAAAATATGACTTATCCAAGTGGAAATATTCGGAATTGCGAGATGCTATAAATACATCTTGTGATATTGAATTATTAGAGGTAAGTTAATTTCTTTTATTTAGCTGTTATAATTAGAGGTATTTCTCCCAAGTGAGAGTAAAGACTGAAAGCAAAGAAAAATTGAAGTTTCAATATTTTATACAGTTCTATTGAGGTCATTATTTAAAAGCTCCCCTTCCTCCGGCACTTGGGCGCCACTCTCGCTTGGGAAAGTAAACTTTCATATACAGATCCAACAAGATTGCAACAGTCCAGTGCGCGTTGACGGTAAAAGCAGGTTGTCTCGATATCAACGACTATACGACTACGATTTCTCGTTTAGCAACAATGTTGCGATTCCGTAAATCGCGGTTTCTCGATTAACAACATACGTATACATTAAATTAATAACCAGTCTTTTACTGCTTTTGATTAATTTCTTAAAAAAAAAAAAAAAAATTTAGAATCAAAAGGAGTCAAAATTGTGTTTTTCTAAATATCAGTGCGAAGTGTGGTAAAACAGGCACGATCTCTATACACGCAGATCTTTACCTCATCTGGGGTTGTCTGGAACCCCTTAAATCACCCCTCGAGAATAAGGCGTGTTCAGCCTCTTTGAATCTGTAATCACTGCGTTAACTTTGTCCCGTGTTTGTAAACAATAAGCAAAGTGACAGATGTAAACAGTTGTGTATAATATTTCCGATAGGCTTGCCGTCATGAGTTCCATCGAAGATTAAAAGTATATCACGCGTGGAAAGCACGAAACCGAAGACGAATAACCATGGACGAGAATGAAAGAGCTCCAAAATCTATCATGGAAGCTGGTAAGGTTAGATGCACAAATTACGAATAAAACATTTCTTTTATATTAATATATACACGATCTTCTGTTCAGCTGCCAAAACACCAAGATCTCAAATGAAACAAACGATAAATGAGTCTTCTCAACGATATTTTCGAATTCCATTTGTGCGGCCACCTGCACCCGGCCAGTATGAAAACTCGCACATAACTGCTAAACGAGGATGGTGGTACGCTCATTTTGATGGTCAGTATGTTGCTAGACAAATGGAACTTCATCCTGATAAGGCACCAATTCTGTTAGTAGCAGGTAAATATTTTTAATTTATTACATGCGAATTAAAAAATAATTCTCGGTGCAGTGTAATGAACTGCGAATGTATGAATGTGTGTCTGAATAAGATCAGAATTATGAAAGATGCATTAATTTTTTTGAAAGGAATCGACGACATGCAAATGTGCGAATTGAGCTTAGACGAGACGGGTTTAACCAGGAAACGCGGAGCTGAGATTTTGGAGCACGAATTCAATCGTGAATGGGAAAAACACGGTGGTAAACCATATATTCCTTCGTGCGATCGTAAGAAATGAGATGTCCCTTTCAAAATTCGTCGGTCGTACGAGAATAATTCTAATGTAAACATCATGAAATTTTATATGGATGCATATTGAATGTAAATCAACAACAGAGTACCTTATAATTTGTTAAAAAGGCAGGTCGCAAAATGGAACAAGAATGGATTCGTAAATCTACGAACGAAGTGGTGTGTACTGTACGTCAATATAGACACGTATATTTTTACGAAATACTGTTTGATTTCGATGCACGTGGCAGCGATTTTTAATGATAAATATACATATATTCAGTATTGAAGACTAGTAGAAAATCACATAGAAGATTTTTTAACTGAAAACGTGATAAGAAACGTGATGCATGGGGTAAGAAATGAATATTCGTGAAAGAGATCTCATTAAAATTGGATTTATTTTGTCTCCTTGTTATTAATTCACCTTGCGAAACATACAAATCTTCTTTACGTCTTACAATGAAAAAAGCATCATGGTTCCTTTAATTATGAAACAATGTTTGAAAATCTATCTTCTGTTATATACAGTAAAGATAATTTTTATTATTTATAAGTTATATTATTGCACATTTAACATGAATCATAGGTATGCCTTATGTGGATATAAAAACAGAAACCTCAATGAATAAATAACGTGTACCATTTTTCTTAAACACTGCTTTGCAAGTTCTTCTAAGAAGACTTGCTTCATAACAAAGTACATTAATAATATCAAAATCAACTTTTTGTATAAGGTATAACAGAATGTAACTGGTTCTTCTTGTCAAAAAAAAAAAAAAAAGAAAGAAAAGAAAACAACAAATCAGTATTGATGAAGTAATGTTCTAGCTAGGAGGTATCCAGCCACCAAAGGCTTTCTCTAACTCTTTAGCAACTGCTATACTAAGATGATCTTGATACGATGCGGCTGTCACCTAGAACACAATTAATCAGGAATGAATCACACAAATAAAAAAATTGTATCGTATAAGTATAAGAGACATGGTAAATATGTTATTATTTGAACATCCATTTTATAATTGAATAGATGAGAACCTATAATCTGTTTAATCAACATATTTTAACATATCAATGTAGAGAAATGAAAATGTAATTAAACTATGTAATAATTACTTGAAATCCAATTGGCAATCCGTCGTTATTCAAACCCATTGGTATGTGTGTTGATGGTAAATGCAGTAGATTTGCAAGTGAAGCGTAAGCACTAGAGTCGAAGTTGAAGAATACTAGTTCTGGATAAGTTGCAGCGGATGGAAATGTGGGATATATGAACACAGCATCGTCTTTGAGCATATTCTGTAAGGAATATAAATACATTATAGGAGTTCAATTAAAAGATGAATAAAAAGAGATATTTGTTAGGTGAATTGTGCAGCATACATTAACTTTTTGACGAAGTTCATTTCTTATCTTTTTATATTTTTCTATCCCAGAACGTGTAATGCCTCCATGAATTTCAATGACTATTCGTACCAAAGTGAGCGATGGGGTGTAATCTGACAAACGAACTACGGATTTTGCAAATTCAAGGAATGGTCTCCTTTTTCCCTGCGAAGAAAATTATACATTAGATCAAAATTATTGTAAAAGACGTTTAAATTAACAATGTAGAGAGTAAATACTACCTCTGGATTTTTAGGATCTACAAGCAGTTCAGGTATATCTAGTTCACCGAATGCAGATAGTTCCATGTTGAATATATCGGCTACCCATTCTTGTGATAACTGAAATACAGTTGGTTTTCAATGAGATTAAAATCAACTCGAATGTAAATAATTAATTCTGTTAAAATTATTACGTGTTCCACGTAGGCTCCATTTTTAGCGAAAAAGCTTAGAGCTTTGTGGATAGTTTCTTTGATATCTGACGAAGTTGATCTCGTATTACAGAAACTGTCGAAATTGTCCACGTAAAAAACTCGAAGGTTTTTCAGATTGAGTGGTTCATCAAAGCATAAAGGTTTCTCGAGTCTGGACGTGAAAACCTTCATAGCCAATTGGAGATCCTCCGCGTATCTTGCTAGTGGTCCAAGTACTAAGAAATTTTGGAAAAGTTCATCGTCCATTGTGGGATAGTGTCCTTTAACAGGGATAATGCCTGGAAAGAAACAAAATTTTCAATTTCACTATTTCATTGAATTAAATTGTACAAATTCAGGAGTGTTTCCAGTACCTGGAGTAGGTTTATGACCAAAGATACCATTCCAGAGAGCTGGTATTCTTATGGAACCAACTACATCTGAGCCGAAACCAAGAACAGATGCACCCGCGGTAATCAGTGCACCCTAAAAATGTATTTTTTATAACACTTGATGTTTTTTTTATTCAGAAGTTTCATTGTAAATAATTTTCAGATTACGATAACTTGAGTTTGTTACCTCACCACCAGATGACCCTCCCGAAGTCCTCGTCCTATTATATGGATTTTTGGTTTGTCCAAAAAGATGGTTGTAGCTGTTGATTGCTGTACATAATTCCGAAGTGTTACTGACCAACAACACAATAGCTCCAGCGTTTTTTATCAGTTTCACTGCATCTCCATCTTCCTCAGCTTTAAAGTTTTTTCTTTTTATACAACCGCCGGTAATGCTCATTCCTGATACAGGAAAATATTTTTAAATATTACAAAACTAATTATTATAGCTTACACTAGAAATAGGTCACCGTAATTCTTGGTAGAAAATTACTGGAATAACTAGTATACCTTCGCTGAATGTTTGTTACCTTTAACGGAAAGAGATTCTTTGATCGTAACTGGAACTCCGTAAAGCGGTTTCTCTTTTTCCAGATCCAAGGCGATTATTTCTTCATTCTTCAACTTTTCATCGCACGTTTTCGCCTCGTTCAGAGCCGCTTCGAATCGCTCTTCTATTACTGCATTTATGAAAGGATCCACTTCCTTAATACGCTCGATATATGCTTCCACTACTGTCTGACTAGAAAGCTTTTCCCAATTTTGGGTAGTTACGAATTATGAATTGTTTTAAATTTGGATTCGAGCGAGAGAAAACAGACGATCAAAGGGGGGAAAAAAGGTTTACGAACAATATAATAAAATTAGGAATTCATTATTCTAGATTAGCGTTTATCCTTGACTCTTTTGCGATTGATTCGTGCCTGGTTCAAATTACAGGTTACGAAATAATATTACTAATGCATAATATATTGGTGTCAACGGTGAAGTTGACATATTTAAGAAACTAGGTTACAGTAGAGGTATTAGACATTTATGTAGAAATTTTCTTTCTAAAGTAATATTTTTATTATTCGAAGTTAATTGATGTCATTTTACAGCAACATTATTGGTGGACGAAATGCAACTTTCACGAGAAAATCGTGGAATATTTCGAATATCAGGAGAGAGAGTGCAGAGCCTGGTTGGAGGAATGTTGGCAGAGAATTCAATATTGTTACTTAACTTTAGTCGGATAAAAAATGCACGTGTTATGCGTGGGGTGCTGAGAGAAAAGGACAAGATAGCCTTAAGGAAAACAACTTACCTCATGGTTTCTGATCTTCCTGGCTAACATGGTTGCGCTCAATTTTAACAGAGGATTCTTAATTGAAGGTATGTCTCGTGGTTTGTTGCGGTAAATAAGAGCGTAGAACGGACGAATAATGAAATGTATCAAATGGAAATTCACGACACAAAATTTCGCCACAAAATCATTCATTTTTCCTATTTAAAAAGAAATTTGGAGATAAAACAAAGTATAGGTAATAATGGTTCGGTAATCTTAAACGAACCAATGAATACTTTTTATTTGAATTTGAAATGAAACTATAGAATTTGTTTAATTGATTTCTTGATCTATCGTTTAGAAAATTATTTACTTATAACTTATTCTATTTTAAATGCTTTAACGCTGATTAACTTCGTTCAAGAATATTTATTAGAAATATTTATAGCTCTAACTTCGCGGCTTACAAATACCCATGCAATTGATATCATGGTAAAGGTAAACAGGTGTAAGTGATCCATGAATACTCGTTTGTTAAGAAAGCGTAACAACGCAGCAAACATAATGTTAACAATTTTATGTTTCGTGCGCGCAAATGTTGCTGTTAGATCTTCGTGATTATTAGTTATTAACCCACTTCCAGTTATTAACCTTTAGACTGCCGGAATTTTAAGAGCTTTATTCCACTTGGTAAGTTTTAAAATTTTCTGTCTGTATCTTATATAACATATATGAAGTTCGGATCACAGGTAGAGACTATATTTAGACTTTCCGGCATCTAACGGGTAGGAAAAATGAAAAATTCTCTATTTTGCCTAAAAGTCTGTTTTTATAGGGCTTTGGGGGTGCAGAAAACGATGGTGAAGTTAGTTTTTGAGTACAGTCCATTCTCATGCCTATATGACTCTCCTTCAACATTACCCAGCCTCAACGACGGGGATGTTGAGAGACGGTGTAGCTCAATTTTATTTATTTTTTTTTATGAATGTTTATGAATGTTCGAATGGTCTGCTTCAGAACGTTTATATTTAGATTTCCCGGCAGTCTAAAGGTTAAAAAACCTGCGCGTTTCTGGTTCGATCGTGCCTTGAAATACAGTAGGTTCTCTATACATGGTACTACATCGGATCGTGTTTTATCGTGTTAAATAAATCCAAAATTTCAAGAAATTCATGGTGCCAATTACTAGAGACCACCGAGGAAGTTAATATGTTCATTAAACTTCCTATCACGATTCGTGAAATCGGTATGTAATGTCGTTATTCGGCATCGTTGGAGGTCTATTGCTGATACGTGCATCGAAGATATTTTAAAAATGTAGGTTCACATATCATTTCTCATATGAAGACTTTTCCTGACTATATTATTATAGTAATAAGAGGGTATTAATGGTGCTTTGAATTTTAATTACAATCTCATTGTGGTAATAATTTCAATTCCATTACAAGTTCTAATTTAATTCAGAACAAACAACACAATTATAATTACTTAAAAAAAAAATGTATAATTTATTTTCTCACGTATATGCTGTTTGGCGTTTTAACATAATTAATTCAGGATCAATATATTCAAGGCCAGCTTACACAATACATAGTGATACGCATCTTTTATTATTGTGACCACATATTTTATATCTTTGAAACTGTTTATGCAGTCCGTATACTTGAAATTACAGATAGCTTCTCTCATCAATATGTGTCGTTTTTCAATGACTAGGTTTATGTAACGAATGCCAAAGGTGATCGTTTACGTTACTTATTGTTAATTTCTTTCACGCTTAAAAACAAAAAAACACTTAGAAATCAATTAAAAATATGGAATACTAGCCATTCGTTTTAATGGAATGAAATTTAATTCCATTCGAAATTTAATGGAATAAAGTTAGGGAAAGTGTAAGAAATACTATTCGGTTAATGAACGTCAGTATAATCAGTTAAAATTAATGATCCACGCTTGTTGGTTTACGAAAGTAAATCGTTATATTAAGCAGAAAAAAGGGAAAGCGTATGAGCGACAATAGCATTTTCTAATGTTTCCGTAAACACATTGATATCAAAAATTGAAAAATTCAATTTACCATTGTTTATTATAGATTTTATATAAAATCTCAATTTTATCCATCACCCGTAATTTTGGAAAAATTCATTTAGGAAAATTTACAGACTTCTTATATGAATAAAAACTAAATATCTGTTTTAGTTATATAAGAACTTTTTTCAGAAATAAAGATTTAAATTTTTCCAAAACCGAGGGATGATGATGCCTGGATATTCTATGGAAAAAATGTGTAACAAACAAAGTTAATATTTGATGAATCTAATTTGATTTATTTAAGCTTCATAATGGAAATGTACGATTTTATATTAACATATTACAATACATTGGGACAACTGAGGAAAGTCATCGCGATTACATATGATGGTTAACATATTTCAAGCCTAATGGAAAATCTTGAACAAGTCTGGAAAATAAAGAATACTTCTTCGAGCAATTAACACTTAAATAAGCCTAATTGAACTTTTAACAATGGTAACATTCATCGAGATGAAAAATATCAGCTCAAATAATTTATCAAATCAATAACTAATATTCATTGTTATTATTGTTATTATGATTATTGATTGATTCATCGTTTGGTTAATTGCATAATTAAATTTGCTGCCAAAACATTCATTTAGTGCACTTATATTTTAATTTTAAAAAAGAACGAAAGTGTTAGAGACTCAGTTTAATTAATTTAATAAAAGTAAAGATGTTTAACTAGAAAAAAAAATTTTCGATGAAGAATAGGTATCATTTTGACAAATTTGGTTCCTCTTACCTGATTAATTATTTCGTTTCTTCAATATTCGCTGACAAAGCTTTAGGAATGAAATTGTTGATCAGAGTTCAATTAAACATAAATCAATTTAAAAAAAATTTCAGTTCAAAAATCACACTTGATATCTGATCGATAGATACTATTAGTTGGTTAGTTGCCGAGTATCATTGTCTTCGGAGTCTCGGACGTTACTGATTGTGAGATCTCGTAGCAATCCTCGGTTACCGCGACTGTAATCGTCGAGAAAGTGTTGAACGTACTCTCGAGGGTACTCTTGATTGTCGTTGGGAGAGAAATCGGGAGTAAATTCTCTTGGATAAATTGAATGAATCGATCAGGAAACCGTTACGGTTGTATAAATGAAAAAAAAAGAAAGTCAAACAAATTTTTTTTGTAGTTGGAACGGGTACTTGTAACTTCAATTCTTTATTTATTATAAAATTGAAGGATGATTAGATAGGGTGTAAATTTTTCAAGGATTTTTAGTGAAGTACTTACTAAATTTTGCAAGTATTATTATAGTAGTGGACAAAGAACGTACACTTCTTTTATTTCAATTTTTATAATTTGGTAATTGAAGTAATAATCAGGATTGGATTAGAAAATCAATTAAATAGATTAAAATTTTTTTACGCAGTTGAAAGACTCGTTTTCCATAGAAGAACTGATTTTAATAATTCATGCAAACGCGTTGAAGGTATCGGCGACAACAATGATCCGCGTGTAAATTACGACCTTGAAACATTGAAATAATTTGTTTGATTAAAACAGGAAAAATGGAATACAGCTTTTTACTGAATCCATTTCAGGGGGAAAACAATTTAAATGTCAGACTTTATTTTAACAATTAACTTTATTCGCTTTTATAAAGGACGATACCATTATTATGTACAAAGAAAAACAAACAATATTATAAAAAAACAATTTCGTTGATTTTAAGTTTAATTTACACTATTGTCTTTCTGAAGCGCTCTTAGAATTTTTATAATACATTATTTCATCAACTTCAAAGTGTATCAATATTTCATATTGTCTAACACTAAATATGATTATTTAATCCTCGTTACTTTATATAATTCTGCGAATGCTCATTGAGCACTTTACAGTAAAAAAACAAGTACTTACCATAATTTGTGCATACTACGCTTATAAACCGATGACGCACACTGTGGATCTTACTTTAACCAATTAATGGCACACCACGTGCGTCACTTAAGATCGACAATACATTAAGTACAAGACTATAATATATCATAGAACGAAATGTCTATGTGCTATAATAAATAGAAAATCAAGATATACATATAATTAAAAAGAAAAACAACAAGTTGTTACTAAAAGAAATGAAAATGAGTACATGATAGGTACTATATAAAAATGTTCATGACTGGGTTCACTATGTTGCGAATGATACGAAATATTGTCAGGTCACGTGAAAATGTTACTGGAAGTCTTGTTTTATGATTAAGGAAGGGTTAAATTGATAGTTCGGTAGTGGGTGGTTGTTGCCATCCGCCAAAGGCTTTCTCAATTCTTTGAGCCACGGCAATCGTTAAGTGGTCGTTACCTGCATTGGCGACAATCTATGGAAAATAATTACTATGAATATTTACGTAATTAATCAGCCCGCGATATCGCGTAACCGAAAATCGACATGAATTACTTACTTGAAGACCAATAGGTAAACCTTTACTGTTTAATCCCATTGGACACTGAGTCACGGGTAGTCCCAATACATTATAAATCATCATGTAAGTGAAATTAGCGACCTTAGGGTATGATTGATGATGATAGTGAGCTGGGGTGACGTATGTAGGATAAATCAAAACCCCATTGTCGCCTAGGAGATCCTATAATTTCAAGAATTTTTTCATCAGTTCTCCTTTTCCTTCTAATACTACACACTTCAGGTATCTGACTTTACCTCAAATTGTTTCTTCAGTGCCATTTTCTTATCGACCATTTTACTGCGATAACTATTTGGAAATTTACTACTCAACCATTTTAACAATCCATAAGAGATCGGTGGTAACGAGTGGGACGATGCAAAGAAAAAGCATTTCAATAATTCGAGTAGAATCTTGCTCGAACCCTGTCCAATTGAAATGGTAATTAGCTGAGAATGAACGTGTTCAGAGTAGAAAAATATATTTACCACAGCTTTAACTTCCTCCGTTATGCCGTCCACCTCCATTTCCAGTAAGAGGTGCGTTGCTATATCAAACGCGAATTTCATATCGTTCAACTGTGCCTGAAATTTTATACATTATTCTAGTTTTAAAAAAAAACAAAAAAAAACCGTGTATACAGGGTGTTCGACAACAGGTGGGCAATATTTTAAGAGGTGATTCTAGGGATCAAAATAAGACGAAAATCAAGAATAATGAAATAGCGTTTACGGCTTTGTTTTCCAGTTATTAACGTTTAAAAATTCGAGTAAAAAGCGCCAGAAACCTGCAACCCGCTCAGCACCGACGACCGAATATCGCGTCAGCAGGGGTCGGTACAGTCACAACCAAGAATCGTTGAATAGTAGAACCGTACCTCGTACTGTTTCTCGGTACTGCAGTATTCGGTTTCGATTCTTGGTTATGACTGTACCGACCCCTGCCGACGTGACGTTCGGTCGTCGGTGCTAGGCGGGTTGCAGGTTTCAGGCGCTTCTTACTCGAATTTTTAAACATTAATAACTGGAAAACAAAGCCATTTACGCTATTTCGTTATTCTTGATTTTCGTCTTATTTTGATCCCTAGAATCACCCCTTAAAATATCACCCACCTGTTGTCGAACACCCTATATAAGGTTTGCATTTACAAACAAACCTTCTGCACTGTAAGCCCATACGTCGTCTCAAGATGCTTCCTTAGCTTCTGAATCGCTCCTTTCATTTCTCTGTCTATGGAATTCGTTATTCCACAGCAGTCTTCCAAATAAAAGAACTTCATGTCTTCTAGCGATACCTTCTGATCAAAACGGTTTCGTGCTTCTTCCGATTGAGATATGATTTTCATCATAAGAGAAAGATCCTCCGCGTATCTAACCATCGTTCCGATGGTAAAGTAGTACGGCCAGTTTCTGTCGTTCGAATCTGGCTTATGACCCTTGCAAGACACCAAGCCTACGACGAATAGGGCCATTTAAAAGAAGATAACAAATTGAAAAAATTCCTTAGAAGTGTAAAGCTTACAAGCTGTTGGTTTGTGCCCAAAAATTCCACAAAACATAGCCGGAAGTCTTGCCGAGCCTGCGATGTCCGACGATAGGCTCAGAATTGACGCACCAGAGCCTAAAAGTGCAGCCTGAAAAGGGATTCTATAATCAATCTTCTTTATCGTATGAAAAGAACATAAAATTACAAGGACCATTGAATTTTCGATGAAAGTGTTGATATGGAGGATACTGACCTCACCACCGGAAGAACCACCAGCTACTTTAGTAGTATCGTAAGGGTTCCAAGTCGGACCGGTCACTTTGTTGTTGCTCTCCCAGAAAAGGCACAGTTCAGGTGTATTGCTAACGAGAAGAATAATGGCACCTGCTTCGCGTACCATTTTCACCACAGTCGCATCCTGGCTCGCTTTGTCTGGGATCTTCTTTTTCACTCCAACCGAGTATGACATCCCTGATAAGAGTCAAAATTATTTTCAAACGACGTGTACATTTTTTGTCAACATGTATGGATCTAAGAGAACGGGGTAGAGCCATTTTTCGGTACCATGCTCGGTACTGTACATACTTATTTCCGACGACGAATCGTGTGAAGAAATCATTACGATCAGCAGTTGATAAAGTAGATATACATATTCATTGCACATCGAAAGATATTTTTATTAACATTTGAAGTCATGAACCTTAAATGTCATGGACGTATTGCAGTTAAATTTTAATATCCATTCTAGTTAAAAATTGTAAAATACAAAGTATGCATCAATTTTTTTTTAACAGTGAACTTTGGACTAAAGTATTAGAAACTTGAAAGGTCATTAAAGAAGAATTTTTCTTTGCATCTTAACGAGCAATGATTAGTGTTGCTAATGGTGCTGATAAAGGAAACGATTAATAATGACACAGATACGATAAAGAGAAAAAACGATATAAACACTAATATGGATGTTGTTGAACGATTAGAGAGCGTCGAATGAAACGTCACGTGTAAATTCGTCAAATGTCCATTCAGCGAAAGTTATGCAGGGACTTCCGGTCAACGAAATCAATACTGAATCTTTTCATTGGAATGATTTAAATCTTCTTTCACCTGCATGCTCGATGGAGACATACCGTTTGATTAACTGCGAAAATATGTAAACGAATATGTCGGCATATTATATGCAAAAGGTCGAGGCAGGTTTAAAAAAAAAAAAAAAAAAAAAAAAAAAAAGTGGGTACTTCTGTAATTCTAAATTTTTATAATTTGGAAAATTGATCGTAGGCACAATTGCGGGATGAAAATAAAATACAAAACTGCAGGAATTTATTACTATGCTTTCTCATAATAGTATCTTCTTCATTTTTTTTTTTTTTTTTTATCAAACTATCTAATCTATACTGTCATTCTATTCTGGTAGAAATGGGTCAACGACTCTGCCGCTTAGAACGTTTGTTCTTGTTGCCATTTCAAAGAGACCGTACACTCGATAACTACGCGGAGACAGGTATTTTTGTAATATATCTACAGCGATTGCCACGGATCTTGAACCCATTCGATGCAATGTCGAATGCAAAACCGGTTTCAGTTTACAGGATTCGGGTCTTACTCTTACACCGTGTGTAGGAGAGACTTCGTAATGAAATATTTTGCATATTCCTTTCTTTATTACTCGGTCGAGCCAGTTCGAATAATAAATTGATAAGCAATTTGCTCCTTTTTTTTTTTTTTTAAATAATCGTTCTCTTTTCTTTCGAACAATAAAAAGAAAGGAAAAACTAATCCGATCAGTTCCGGAAATAGCAGAAAAGAAAAATTTTTTTTTCGGCCATTCCTTGAGATTTTGACCCTCTAAACACAATGGCGCAAGAATTTTTTCAAAACTATAGCCTCCTTCTCAAGATTTTCAATCTTAGATACAGGTTGGCTAATAAACGAACGGATTGATAATTAGCGTTAAACAAACCTTGCACCGCGATGCTCTCTTTGACGGTCATGGGAACACCGAGAAGTGGCATTTCTCGAGCCAGTTCCTCTTCACTTTTTCTGCTCCACAATAAAAATTCATCGACTTTTCTTGCTTCTTGAATCGCTTCATCGAATCGCGAATCCACGATCGCGTTTAGAATCGGATTCACGTCTTTGCATCTCTCTACGCAAGCTCTGACCACTTCTTCGCTGCTAATCTACAAGGAAAAAGCTCGTATATAAATAAATCATTTAAGATCTGATTTGATACGAAATATCTACCTTTCTATTCCGAATCCTTCTCGCAATCTCCGTGGCTGAGAGCAATAGAACGTGACTGTTGATCGGTGGTAATCGTTTCCGTTTCTTCAGACATTGCAACATCAGAAACGGTGTAACCAGACAGTATAGCAAAAACAACAGGAACTTGAGAATCTTTTGAACGATCAGTATCACCGTGTCCTGTGAAATAGATATCGTAGAACGAAGATTTCATACGCTTGACACGTTTCGCGTTTGAAGGTTTACAGGAAACATTTGAAACCGGCAGATAAAATTAATCAGCTGGCAGTTTTGCAACATAGACTATAAAAACTTTTAGAAAAAGAAGTGCAACACTGTTTATACGAAAAAATAGAATGTATAACTTTTTGTTCGTAAATCAACATCATTACTAAAATTAATTGATAATTATCAATGATCAAAGATCGATGTTGATTTACCGGGAAGGTTAATTGAAAGGTTAATTATAATTAAAAGTGATTAAAGTTCATTTCACCGTTCGCTAATAACAATGAGTTTATTAAATCTCCATTTATTATTTACTTCCTTTTCTTTTTTAATTTAAAAAAAAATTGCTGCTCTGAGTAAATTATTCTTCATAATACAGGCGTTGAAGTCTCTCGAAATGGAAAAGTTCGCTTCGATTTGTTTTTTTTTTTCACGCCTGACCGTGAATTCCTTCTATTTATTATAATAATTCACACCGCAATTAGCATGATTACGATACACCTCATTGACGGATTTGGTGTCACGGTAACGAAAATAACCCATGATCAAAATGCAGAGAAATAAATGTTGTCTTTTTAAACAATGGGTCAGAAAGATACTTTGTATCTTTTAAAGGGCATTGAACGTGAAAGGGAACGCAACCGAGCGGTTTTTTACTTAATTGACTTGTCCCGTATTTGCGTTGACCGCGTTCACGATTCCTTTAAAGTCTCTACCAGTTGTATTCAGTCGTTAGCGAGTCATTGACACTTAAGCACAGCTGCTGGTAAATGATTTTTTTTTTCATTTCACAGTACAGTTCGCGTTTTAATAGTGAATTTCATTTTTAAACTGCGATACCAATTATCTAGTAGCAATATTTCGAGAATTCTTCATATTTTTTCATTACTCACCCAACGATGAACCATGATTTTCGTGTACACTAATGGTAAAGCGCATAATAAAAGCTCCATGATCGATTAATTAACAATATTTAGATGATTATTCCTCTTCAATTTCGTCGTATCTCCCTGCAAGTTCTTAAACTTTGCGCTTGAAAATAACAATGACGAATCGCACTTATGTCATTGAATTTCGGTAGGCATTAACACTGTTATTGTTGAACATTTTGTTAAGATTAAAGAGGACTATGGTACTGTTCGTTCTTATCCTCTTTATCCGTCTTATCAACGACGCGTGTTTCGTTATCGTTGGCAAAAGCATGCAAGTCTTTCATTAATTTTCTTTTCCTTTTCCGTCGTTAGTGTTATCCCGACAGAATGTTTCCATTATCAATAATTTTTAGTAATTCTATTATTTTCTTTCTACCAAAATTTCACAATCATTATCTCGAATTTACAGAATCCAATCACGATTCCAATTTCAAACGTTCTCCTCTACTATATTTAGTATATCATTCTTACGACCTATTCTTTACCGGATACTACGTTCGTGTTTAATGAACTCGGATGAACTTAAGAGGAGAAAAATAATCGGTATGATATCTCGTTCGAGTCGTACATCATTTCAGTAGTCGCGGCGCGGACTAACCCGGCTCGACACGCCTGCAGCATACTTAAATGAAAAATTATAATGGTGGGGCGTTTTGTAAAACCCTCGACGACCTTCTCGAACGGGTAAAAGAGAACTAACATTCGAAAACTGGTAATCACCGTCCAGTCAATCGATTAGAGCGACATGTTGAAAGTCGACTGCACTGTTCGATGCAGTTGATGACGCACCATGTGCGTCATTACACAAGAATTGCATTATCAGTAATAATGATCACAGTCAGAAGCTGAATGATTTTTATAATTCGAAGATAAAATATCAGTAAAGGAAAAAGAAATTATTGGCATTGCTTGTTTTTGCATTAAATTTAATCGACAGACCTTTAAATTGACCTTCGTCCAAGCACATCGAGGGGGGGGGGGAATGAAAATTTCGATTCTTGTATGGTAAATGTAATTAACAGGACTCGCGTTGATTTTTTGTTTTTTTCTTTTATACTCATCGTCAATCAACTCTGACGAACGACAGAAGTGAATTTTCGATGGCTCGCATCATCGCCACGTGAACTTTGATGTAATGATTGTTCGGTCTTTTTTCGAGTAGTGGATACTCGTCGAGGATGTTTCGTTATTTTCCATACAATTTATTGATTTCCTGCTTTCGAGTTGTAAAAACGCAATTCAATTTTTTTCCTGTCTTCTTGGAATACTCGTTTACCCTTTTGAAGAACAGTTGAAATATTTTTGTGTAATTTATTCTTCTGCTTCGATAACATTCGTTCTTGATCCTCTTCCGGGAAGAAAAAATCAAGATTTTATTTAATCTCCGAGGATAGTTTCTCTGTCTCGTCGTGGATCGATAGGAATTCTAAGGTGAAAGCATTCGAAAATGCGTTTCAAATAGATTTTCATCGGGTCTAGGTCGACGACGAACAACAGTTGCACCATCCTAGAGTATCGAAGGACGAACAGTGTGGAATGAAGAATTTTTCTTGGCGAACGATGGTGTTGCAAGTCTGCAAATATGTGGACGATCGTTCGTCACTTTTAAAACAACCTGCACGAACCATTTACAGAATGTATTGAAAAATTCTTGTATCAAATGACTCACTGATACGTTGTTCTATCAGCTGATATCGGTCATCAAAATATAGAAATAATTTCCAAAAAATTGTGATTACACTTTATCGCAGTTTTCAAGCTTTTGGATGAATCTTCCAATAATTCAGAGTTCTTACTGCGTAGCAATTAGTTATGTGATCCACGTACACTCGTGAAGTGTTTAACAAGGTATCGCATGCATTATACAAATGGCATTGAATGGAACTTGCAATTCGAAGAACTTGCAATTAGAATGAATGGAGAATAGAGGGAAGATAAAGAAATGAAGAAAAAAAATTTCTATAGGCTCTCCATGATCTTCTCAGGTTAATAGTTATCCATGACATTGTGAATAATGCAATTACAGATGATAAAAAAAGCGTAAATTAATTGCATAAATATGAATCAGGTACTTATCTTTCTTTATCTCAATATCATGATGTTTTGTTATGTCATAAAAAATGTGGCAGCATAGATGCTGTAGTAGTGTCAGTTAATATAAAAAATATGCTAACAAATTTTATAAATATCCCACAAATTATTTTAGTTGCAGACAAGTCTGCTGTGTTTACGATAATGAATATCAGTGTACAATGTGTCTTCTTATTAATATGCCCAGTTTGTAAAAAATAATGTCTTTTCAGTTCCAGGCAATGATGCATTATTCAAATTCCATATGTTTGTCACACATAAATTATTTAAGTATTTGTTAAGAAATTCTCGCGGAGATCAATTAATTGGGTAATTTGTTTTCTTCAATTAGCTTGAAATTTGACAATTCATGCAAACGGAAAAGATTTTAATTGATATTAATTTAAATGGTAACTGGTTTATCTTTCTTTTGGTAACAGGAAAATATTTGTATAAATGCTGAAAATAAAAATTTAACAGGTTCTAGGATTATTTAAAATTGATGCAATAAATCTTCAGTCAACTTCAATTTATGAACACCTTCATGCTACAGTGATTTTTTAAACTGTTTAAAAAAAAATTCATGTTTGCAATGAATTGGTGACATTTCATGGAATTTGGGTATTCAGATTCTTTAAATTATCATAAATAAATGATACGATCAGACAATTGTTTGACATTCGATGGCATTGAACAGAAGTTTTGTTGTACAAGAAACATGGAAAATCATCGAAACGACTATGTTGTTCTTACTTTCAAAGTCGATGTTGCAATTGTTACGAAGACTTGCTTGCTTATGTGCAAAATTTCAGTTTACAGGGTTTCGTGTCGTAATTGTACGATAATATATTGTGAACATGTGATTTAGTGAATCACAAATTAGTGGCACTTTGTAACATCGCGAAATCGTGAAGTAGTGTTGGCCCAATTTTCAGATCACGAACCGATTGTATATGTGATTTTGTGAATGACAACACGATACCAATTAATTTTCGAATCACACCGCGCTCTTATTTCAAACTTCACGCATCACAACGCGGTATACCGACCCACTTTTTCAATTATAACAATGCTACTTTTTAAATCTTCACATCGCAACGTCGTGTTATTTCAACTTATAAATCATTTTCAAACTTATATTTTCATTTAAATTCAAAGTAGGTTAATGAATTACTCTTTTCCTCCCCAAAAAAGACTTGTTCCAATTTCCAAAACTTTACGTACCATGATTCTTATTTAAACCAACTTCGATCCCTTGTGTTTAATCTTCGAATTCTTCAACATCCACTGATTCGTATTCTTTCAATCTCTCTCCCTTTTTCCTCGTTCGAACAGAGGAAACGAAACGATTGTATCTCACAAAAATTCTACCGTTTGATTTGTCACGTGACGAGAAGTCCCGAAAAACGAAATCTCCTGTTAGCAGCGGCAACTTTCTCGGCAACCGAATTCATCATCTGGGCCAACGAATCGTTCTGACGCTTTCTCGAGTATCTTCCGACAAAATTCACTTCTCCCTCCCTTTTCCCATAACGTTTGCCGTGTATTTTTCGTTTATCTTACGTTTTGTCGCGTGAAATCTCGCGTGGAATGAGGACAGACTCTGAATTTGCTCCTTTTTTTTTGTTTTTTAATTTAGAACGTAAACGATCGTTATCGGTTGTTAGCGGTTGTGATTACCATTGAAAGAAACTTGGTTCCACGTGGGGTCCCGGCAACAGAAGCTACGAGACGGGATGTCGTGATGACCGGATACGATGAACGGTAACTCCGAGACTAATTCCTCACCACCTTCAACGCTTGAGTACAAAATGAAAACGTTCTTCTGATCGTTGGATAGAGTGGGGTAGATCGATCCACGTTCGAAATCATTTCATTCTTACGATCCATAATAAGGTGTTAGAAACAAAAAAATACTCATTATGAGAGTATGTCATTAATGAGATTCTAATAATGAGTTGGTAATAATGCGAACTGATTAAACGATAGTGCTATCGTTCATTACTAGGATAATGTGTAATCAATACGTTAATCATCGCAATGATGTTCAATTATTAATTACAATTATCCAGGAGTTGATTATTTTTCGAAATGAATAGCGTTTGTAAGGTTGATTGCTCGAAGTAAGAAAACAAATTCGAGTTGAAGAAATTGTGATACTTGAAAAATTTCCTTCCCCAAAACATTCTCGTCGAGATAAATGTTAAAAATAATTTAATCATTCCGCTAATCGAACACTCTCTTCTCTGTGTAAGAAAAAAATATATTCTTATAATCTTATGATGTTTCTCAATGGTGGTTTTTGGTCCTATTTTATGGGAGATTTTGAGATAAGACTTGCCGAAAGTTTCGGAGGAAATGAAAACACGGAACCGGCTTTTTTATTCGCGTGCCAGTCGAATCGAATTTCGAAAGTAAATTGGATAAATTATTTTACAAATTGGATAATCACGTGCCAGACTTTTGGTTTTTATCAATTGGAGAACATTACGAGTGGACTTTAGCTCGAACAAAGATACGCTTCTATTCAGAGGTTGAGAAAAAAATAAAAGTAACGTGAAATGAAATAACAGGAGATGTAATCATTGTTTGAGAAGCAATCATTTATCCAAGGCAACAACAATTTTTCTAATAGATTTTGATGAGACATTCTTAATGGAGATGCAGTAGTTTACTCGATTCCTGTTATTTTAAGAAACAAGAATTTTTTACTTTCTTGCCTTCTTTGATACCAATTTTGTACAAATTGTTTTAACCAATTAATTTTTGCCAACATTTTCTTTTGCACTTCGGTTCGATGAATTGAAACACGTTTGTAGAACCTTGAAACAGAAATAAAGTAGGGAGAAATAGTCGTATGAATGAGAATTAGTACGAATTAGCAACATTTCCAGTTACCCTTACGTGCTTCTTCGATTTGCCGAAGCAATTAACGCACCACCGCGGCTATCTCATTGTCACCCTTTGAAATTTACATTTGAACAGTTTCTCTGACGAGATTTCTAGCCGGTTGCTTCGTTAAACAATCGTCGTCGAGAGGATTTTTACACGTGGAACTTTCTGTTTCTCGGTAAGCGTGACGCTGAAAATTGCATAGGTACTTACTAATGTTTCGCAAAACCATTTATTAGAGATTAGGAAGGATATTGCGAATAAATATTGCACCATCTTTCGTTCAAACGGAATTGAAATTGTCGAGAATTGCTTTTACCAGCCTTAGGACAATTTTTTCTTGGGATGAGCCAGGTCCGAAGAAAATTATTAGAATTATTAGAATTATTAGAATTTTGGAAGCTTAGAATCTTAGAATTTTAAAATAGTGAAGGAGCCAGTCCCTATTTTGAGGGAGGCCCAAGTCTTCCTTCTTTCGTCAACCCATAGCCATGGTAATTCATTAATTTAATTATTTTTTGATGTTCATCGAAAAAAAAAAGTGAAAATTTTTAGGTCAGTTTCAAGAAGAATAAAAACACAATATTGTTTCCTGGTTATGCGTGAGCTTTCGTTTATTTGAGAAAAATATTATTTACATTGCACAGATATATCACTAGTATCATTAGAAACGAATGGACAATCGATCTTTTCGAAAGCTCCTTACATCGAAGTCCTTTTTTCCAAAAAAAAAAAAAAAAATTCGAACCTAGAGTGTGAATTTCAAGATTTAAAAAATAAAACGATCACCCAGAAACGAAACAGATAGATAGAAAAAAAAGAAAACGATTTTTTTGTGCAACTTGTCAGTCCAAAAACGTAACAAATATCGGATTTACACGTATTGTGTTCTTTCAGTCAAGAATGATTAAAATATTTCAACAATTTGTTTAGTGCTGTGACACGATACGTCGCGTTCAAAAATAATATATATAAATATCGATAAAGGCGTTAGCTAGAATAATATTAATAATACTAATCGTAATAAAAATAATAATAGTAATTTATAACATCATTACACGCGTGAAAAATAATTTCTAATTGATAACGCTATTCAATGATCTCCTCTCTCTCTCTCTCTTTTAAGAAAAGAAAAAAAAAACATTACTATAAGGTACGCAACTCTCCTGTCCTCTTATTAAGTACTGAATACAATATTATCGTCGATACGAGCCATTATTATTGTTAATTAATATATGTTTTACATTCAACGCGACTGTAAACACCGCAAAAGGCATCCTAACGACCGTCCATCATCTTTTCGACTTCTTTTCACCCCCCCCCCCCCCCCCCCCCCCCCCCCCTCCCCCCCCCCTTTCAAATCGGATAAATATTCGTTATGGAAAAAGCTATTCGTTTGTTCTTTTCTTTTACGTTGTTTATAATAAAATACATCTATATTATTAAATCCTGGACCTCGTGAAATTTCTCATTGATCCTCGCGATTTACATGAAAAAATGGTATCACATGAACGTTACAATGGGCCTCGTCTCTTCGTATTACAATGCACTGAAAGACACAAACAGAAGCTTCCGGTTTCCGGTGGGTGAAAGTTTCGTTTTAAAAAAATAATCGCGTCCATAGATCTATCCTCGATCTATCGTACGATTTTGGATTTATGCATCTGAACGTTACAAATTTTTTTTTTACATAAACAAAAGTCATTGTATTTTTTTAAATTCGTAACTTTCAGCTCACTGGATATCTAGCCGGTTTACAGATAAGTTTCGCGTTTACAGGTAATACGTTAAATACATAAAAGATACAAAGAAATGCTATAGATTCTATTAAAGATCTACAGGCAAACTGAAAACACTATTCAAAGTTTTAATATACACTCTCATTTGTATAAAAAAAAAAAAAAAAAAAAAAACACTGCACGTACAATAAATTAACAATAATCACTAATAAATGCCAACTAAAGAATATCAAAAGAGTGTTACTACATTTCTTTGTATCTGTTAGGATTCAGCAATTATGTTATGCGACACTTATCTTGAGATACACTGTCCATTAAAAGCAAACTTATTTTCTATAATCATGTGCAATGATTTCTCATTCCCCTATCATTGCCTTTCCTGACTATTTACATTAATAGCGGTGTAAAAGCTTGCTTATTATTCATTATTCCCCACGTAAAGATATACTTGGTTATGCAACAAATGCAAACTCCGATCAGCAGATCACAGCGAAGGGTAGAGTGTGCGAACAGAAAACGTGTGAAGAGTATTTCTAGTTATAAAGCGAATAGAAATGCATCCGTTTAATACTTGAATGCAACAGTGCGGTTCGCCGTACATGGAAACAGTAAACATCGTAATATAACATTATATATATTAACATCTGGTCTCCTAAAAGCGAGGAAACTATCTCGTACGTAGCTGAACGCGTTATAAACGAATATGTGTCCTATCTGATATTTTGTTTATTAATCAAATTACTCTTATTAGCGAAATCAATCACGAGAACGTGTACACTCTCATACGTAGTCAAGTGTCACGTCTGTATATATTGTTAATTATAGATGCAAAACGTTTGCCTTTTGCGTTTCTCCTGGGATACCCTGTATCCATCAAATTCATTTTAAACCACGATAAACTATTGCGTTTGGTCGAGTAACAGTTGTATCTTAAAATGAAAAAGAAAAAAAAGAAAATAAGAATACATGGAAAACTTTCGTGTCGTTAAAAGAATGTACAAATTTGACAAAGCGAAAATGTAATAGAAATGCATGATAAATCTTCCCAGTAATGGAACGCAAACGGCTTAAATATAATACGCCTAGAATAGACTCAAAACTCACTCGTACAAGGGTGCGAATAAAATTTCCTAACTCTATAAATAATTTCTATCAAGCGCTTAACACGATAATAATCGTCCAAACTAATTACATAGTACGAAATGTAAATAGTATAGTATTAACTTAATAACTTTATGTACCAACAATGTGCAGTTAGCAATGATATATAAACGTTACATCCGGATCGTTAAATTTATTCAATAATGAAAACGCAACGTTTCAAAATAGTCTCGAGTGAAAACAGCTAACGGCAGCATTTTATTTTTCAAACATTATCGCCTATCTTGTTTCTATCTATAAAAGTAATGATACTTTTTAATGTTTTACAATAAAATTATATCACGCAATATCTCAAAAATCGTATTAACAAACGATGTGAATAGAAATGTGAGACCGAGTATCATCGTTGTCTAAATATCTTTTCTTTTTTTTTTTTGTTTTTTTTCATAAAACTATATCTGTTCCATAGCCGATATGAATTAGTCTCTTAGTGTGTGTGATCCACGCTGTGATTTGCATTCTTCAACTAGAACGCTTTTAGGGCGTTAACTTTCAAGTATAAAAATTGACTGCATAATAATAAATTATAATTTATGACGAAACACTTTGATTAATTAGAAAACAATATTTTCTGTTTTTCAAATTATGAAACAAAGCGAGTACTATGATGTGTACTGGATGTATAACTATTTTACAAAAGTCTACATAATAATCTTCACCCCCTTAACTCGTCACTCTAACCGTATATCAATTTTGCTTCGTAAATGGTCAAAATCTTTTCTTTTTTTTCCCCAGCATTGTTTTCAATCGAATGTCCGCAATTTGTTATAAAATGTATCAGTCACTTGTTTTCTTATTCATGGATAAAATATGTTGTATTATAACCAGTGACTCCTGGTCCGAGGCAATAATCACGTTAGCAATGATTGGGTTAGTTAAATAACATGCGCGGTTACACGTTTGTTAAAAATATAGCACGGGTGAGATTCTTTGGAGGAGTTTTAAATTGAGATGATCGAGATTGTTCATCGGGCATCTTTCGCCGTTAATTTCTCTATTAATTCTTGCAATGGTGCTAATTCTCTTCTCTCTATCAAGTTAAATTCCTGCAACAAATGAGAATAAAATAAAAATATTAAAGAAGATTACATTTAAATCTCCAGTTTAATATTTAATCTTGCTCTCTTTACCTGTACAAAAAATATGAAATGTTTGAATGATGTATTTAAATGTGCCTCTTCGCCAAGTTGAACTACTTCACTGAAGTGTTGATGATAGATATGTGCATATACTCTAAACAGCCGTTTTAATATTGTCTTGGCAATGGACAAAAAATTTTTTGGAAAAGGAACCCCTGAGAAACCAACATTTTGATCAAAACATTAATAAAATGAATGTCACCATTAATAAGATAATATCATTTACCAATTTTTGAAGGAAACAATGTTTCGTCGTCTAACTGGTCTTGCACCCAGGTCATTAAATAATCAATGTACTTTGGTGCAGAACACTTAATTGGTTTCTTAACAGTGTGCCCATCAGCCCAATGATATTCGTATTTTGGTCCTGCAGACATGATGGGACAACTTTCTTCTGTACAAAACTCTGTGATAGTGCCATATAACATGTTGATTTGATTAAAGAAATCAACAGCTGGAACAAAAGGCAAGTTGATTGAACCATTGTAAAAATATAATATATCTTTGTATATCTTTATTACATACTATTTACTGCAACCCATTCATTCAAATCTTCACCCTCTGGAAGCATAACTGCCAGTCTCAGATTCCCAGAACCAAGGGTGGCAGCTGCATGTTTCATCAAGTCATACTGATGAGTTCCCTCAGGAATATTCTTCTTTGGTTTGAAGGTTTTTGAGGACCTGCTTCCGCTTAAGAAATTCATAAAAATATTTTTCAGCAACAATTAACCTTTAAGGAATATTATATAAAGTCACTTTACTTGAATAATAATCTATATTACAATAAAAAGCGATACAAATCATTCTACATATAATTGTAAATTTATACAATTATGTTAATATCATACATAAATTTTTATTTATACATTCAAAATTCAAATATAGGAAATTATATTCATATTTAAATTCGAGATGTATAATCGATCGATCGTAAGAATCGAACAAAACAATATAGACGTAATAAAACAAATCGAATACATCAAATATGACAAAGTTATCGATTTATAGGAACTATTAAAAACTTTCTCAGTGTTGTATTATCAGTACATTGCAAATAAATTCAACTTCCGTAGTGCGGTGAAGATAAGAAGTGTCTGTGCTGATAAAGTTGACGTGCGATAAATATGTGCGCGTTGAACGACCGCGGGTGAAAGTGGCGATGAATAAGAGACTAAGATCATAGAAAACGAACGATTTTTTAAAAAGAAATTATGGCATCGCGCTATTTTTAGGTATCCAGCGATTGGTCGATCGCGATGTATACGAATTCAAGTACATCGGGTCGAGAACCTAAATTAGCCAACAGGCAAGCGAACGGAACTGGCCAAGCGATTTCTGTCAATATTCGTTCTCATTGTGACCGGTTCACGGTAATAAATTACCGATTCTCCATCGTTGTCATTTGTCAGTCGCGAACGAAAGTGTTGAACGATCGGATGATTAATCAACAGAGAAACGTTTATACAAGAAGATATGTTTGTATAATTTATATCGTTGCTTAGTCAACAACACAGAATATTAACGAAGTTAAAACGCACTAAAGGATAGTTGATTTTCATTTGAAATGAAAAAACCACTTACAATAGGAAGCTCATTGTGCGCACGTAGATGACCTGTCGATAAAATTCGATTTACAGCTACGCAACTGTACGTGTCGTTGATTTTCTTTGTATTACAAAACACTACACGATTCGGCTGTCGACAAATTTTATTAAAATCCACCATGCATTCACCCACGACACCACTATAGACGGTTTGTCAACTACCTTCCCTATGATCTCCCCCAACTTCAATCCTTCCAGTACTGAACGGGATTGTACTTGGGTTCAGTCACGACCTCTGTCCAGACGTGACTGCAGATGCACTTTATTTTTCTATAACTTTATGATTTTTACTATCTCTTTGTTCATGTATTTTGCAAAATATGTATAGAATTCAATCGATATACTGTTAAAACACCCATACTCTAAAATGTTTTACTATATTCAACACGATCGATATAGTAGATAAAAAAACGTTATTACACGTTGATGATGCATTTAGGAACACCGGAATAGATCTATCGATAATCAAATAAATTTATAATTTATCATGTATACTTCTTCATATAATTAAATAATGGATCATATTTAGTTTGAAACAACTACCAAACTCTTATTTAAAGTAATAGTTTTCTTCAATTATTGTGTTCATAAATTAGGAGGTATCAGCAATTTGTAAACAATTTTCTTCGTTTGTATCAAAATGAAATAGAAGTTATCATTCTTTTAATATATCTTTATGATTAAAATATTATATTAATTTTCAAATACTGTAAAATATCGAATAATTTATTTTTAATGCATTATTTTGATCGATGTAAACTAGCTTTAAAGTTCGTGAAGCAAACGCCATTTTGCTGGTAGGTCTGTAGAGCGTGGTGTTGGTTGATCATTTGATGTCAATTAACTTAATTTGTAATTTCTCTTAATTTATAATTCAACACAAGAATACGTAAGTATAAATAGAATATTCATGATATGAAAAACAGATAAATTTGTTATCGAATACAGCCTACAATCGAATGTTATTAATATTAAAAATTTTGTAACATGATTTGTTTAATGTTATTCAATATTTTTGCTTGAACATTGCATTTTTTGTTTTCAAGTTGTCTTCGTAATTAATAAAACCTAATAATTTTCAAAATATTTCTGTCGCTTCTTTATCGATGTTTCTGATTTATTGAACATTTATGACCTTCACATTTATGAACTGGTGTTACTGTAAATAAAGATGCACACAACAGTGCAACTTATGCAATAGCAATTAATTGCAGTAAGATAACGTTAGAAAAGTCAAACGGATAAAATATATATAATATTTTGAAAATACGTCATAATTAATAAATAATATTCTTTTGTAATGCAAAAAACAGAATATTAAAATATGTTTATATTATTTATAGTATAGTTTATTATAGGTAGAAGCCATGTCGAATGGTAGTGGAGATCATGATGATGAAGGTTATGTGGTCAAATTACGTGGACTTCCATGGTCTACCACTGTTGATGAAATTATGAAGTTCTTCAGTGATTGTTCTATCTCAAATGGTAAAAATGGTGTTCATATGACTATGTCAAGAGAAGGCCGTCCTAGTGGAGAGGCTTATGTAGAAATGGATACACCTGAAGATATTGAAAAGGCTTGTAAAAGAGATAGAGATCATATGGGTCATCGTTATATAGAAGGTTAACAAAAAGAAAGAAATTATAAATATTCAAAATCTTGGAATATTAAAGGCATCTAACTATTTTTTTGTGTTATAGTCTTTAAAGCAAAAAGAGGTGAAATGGAGTGGGTAGTCAAAAGAAGTGGTTTCAATCTGGAAAATGCTATGGATGATGCTTGTGTGAGACTACGCGGTCTACCATTTGGATGCTCTAAAGAGGAAATAGCACAATTCTTCTCAGGTATTTTGTACAATATGTATGAATTTGTATGTCTATTTATTTTTTATTACAGTATATTACTAGTTCATTTACCAACCTTGTTGAAGACCAGTATACCCTTTTTTTTTTTTATAATTATATTATCTCCTTATTGTGTTTTGTTAATTGATAGAGATTTTGAATCACAGAGACTGAATGTTTTTGATGGTTGTAACACATTTATACCATAGTGGCTTTTTGGTTTTAATTTCAAACAACTATAAATGCCTAAAATGAAGACCCAAAAAATGTTGAAATTTATATCCATCCCAAGCAGTGTTTCTGTGTTTCATTATTATTAAATAGCCTGAGTTAAGATTTAAGATTAAAGATCAATGTTCCTGTGTTATGCTGCCCTGTACAGACTAAAAGACTTTTGTTATAATTTACATATACTTCATATTTTATTTATATAACGTGTCTTTGTGTTTCAAAGGTAGAACTTAATTCTTAACTTCGGCGTAGTAACCTTTTCTTTTTCTTAATTACAAAATACATATATATATATATATTTTTTTTTTGTTGGAGCGAGACGTTTTGCACATAACGTGCAAAGGATATTTAAATCTTGCTTCTTTATAAGGGTTTTAATAAACTGACGATACTATAATTAATAATGGGTGTTTCGTTACAATGTCGATGTTTGATTATGTGTGGGTCAGGGTTGGAGATATTGCCGAACGGGATTTCACTACCGACAGACTACACGGGCCGCAGTACTGGGGAGGCTTACGTTCAATTTGTTAACAAAGATGTTGCGGAGCGCGCTCTGCAGAAACACAAGGAAAAGATAGGACACAGGTGGGGCACTGACGCTAGCTGGGTTTGGGTATACTTATGACTTTTCAATATCATTTTATGATCGTAGTATATGTAGGTATATAAATTTTGTTAGTAAATAGCGGGAGCGAGTTTCTTTTTAAATAGATGCAGTTTCTTTATTACCTATCAATGAATTTTATTTCTTATACTAATTTCTTATACGTATGACCAAGAGTTCATTCGTTATTACATTGAAATATATAAATTGAGTGTATAAAGAAACTGCTTCTCTCCGAACACAAATAAAAGAAAAGTTAGTCGTACGTAAGCGAAAGTACTGTTGGCCCAACTGATACCTATGGGTGGGTGCCGGGCGGGAGGTACCCCCTTACATCGTCACCAAATCCCATGGGAGTGTGGGTAGGGCTAACCCAGGATGGGTGGGCACTACAAAGGTGATAATCATCGATCTAATTTGGCACACCTGTTTGACAATTGCACAATTGTACGTTTTATGCAAGAAAGGAAACATATATTAATTTAAGCTCAAAGGCTTTGCACAATTTCATAAGATCACTATAATGAAATACAGCTCGCATTGCACGGAAATATTCATTGTAACGATAATAGGGTACACACTAATTATGACATTCTAGCTTTCTTCGAGATTCTTAAACTTTCTTATATTTCAAATACTTTATTTTAATCGTATCGCATCTCGATACTTCAATATTATTTGTTATGATAAATATTGCATAAAGTGCAATTGTAATTGTCATATACCTGAGGATCATCAACGTCTCAGAGGCTAGGGTGACATAAATACATCAAAATGCAATGTCACCGAGGGAGGGTATCTACACAGATTTAATAAATATGTGGAGGTGTAGTATGAACCAGTTATCTGTTATCAAATCTTCAATATGGATTTTTTCTTCAAGTCATTTCTTTCATATATATATATATACACACATGATAAATGAATTACTCCTGCTCCGCGCAGATTTATTTTAAATATTCATATTTCCTCTCTTTATTTAAACATTCGGACTTGTTCTCATTTATATTTTTGCATTTAATTCTCCAGTTTGAAGGCAGCCTGCTATAAGCGGCAATAATATCTATATTAAGATTCTAATAATTAATATCAATCTTAACAGATACATCGAAATCTTCCGAAGCACTTTGTCCGAAGTACGTGCTAGCATCGGGCCGAAAATGCGAGGAGGTCCAATGGGTGGTTTTAATCAAAGACCCGCTCCCTATGACCGAGGTGCTCGTTTCGGTGGGATGAACCGTTTTAGCAATAATGGCAGAGGTTCTAGAAATAGAGGTAAAAATAAATGCATAAACATGATTTGTAAATCGTAGCCACGTTTAATCTTAATGTTTTTTTTTATTATTGTACTGTATAGATTTTGATGGCGGCCCATGGGGAAGCGGTAATAACTTTGACTCGCGTGGAGGCGGTATGGGTATGAGAGGTGGTTTGGACATGAAAGGTGGAAATTTCCGAGGCAGTGGTGATACATGGGGTGGCAATTCTGGAATTCATAGTATACACATGCGTGGATTACCATTCAAAGCTACAGAACAAGATATAGCTGATGTAAGATTCTTGAGTCGGATAACATTTCAGTATTTTAATGTTGTTACCATTGTTATAACAAAATTTTATTGTATGTCCCTAGTTCTTTAGACCTATTGAACCTGTAAATGTTCGAATTATCCTTGAAAATGGTGGACGTCCTTCTGGAGAGGCTGACGTAGAATTCGCTACTCACGAGGAGGCTGTCAAAGCAATGTCCAAAGTTTGTTTAATAAACACTAATTTGATATAGATATTATGAACGTTGGTCACAAAGCTATTGTTATAAAATTGTGTTACAGGACAAAAGTCACATGTCTCATAGGTACATTGAATTATTCCTAAATTCAACTGGTGGTTCAAGTGGAATGTCATTAGGTGGTATCGGTAATTTCTGCGGAGGTATGTTTTTCAATGGAAAAATGATTGTGTTGTTCTGTATTTTATATTTCATTTTTTTAACGTTAATTTATATTACCAGGTTTGGGCAATAACTTTAGGCCAGGATATTCTCCAAATAGAGGCTTCAGTTCCCAGTTAGGAGGAAGCAATTATAATAGTTTTTGAGGTCGGGTGTCGCGTTTCTTACGCCACCGACGATAAACTGTTTCGTAAATCAAAGTTTTGACATACTGAATTATAACATCGATGAAACCTTGTTTTTGTATTGGATTCAGTTAGAAATTAATTGTTTTACAAATTATATACACGATACTCGTAAACAAAACATAAAGATTATGTTTCGTTTTGATAAAACGTTTGTGAACATTGATCAGTTAAATATTTTTTTTTGAAAAATAATTTTGATAGATCACAAGTTACTATGTTCCATTTCTTTTTTCACTTTCATTTGTTTGTATAAAAATTGATAATTAAATTATAATGAACTTTTTCAAACCATTGGCGTAATGCGTATTTTAATTAATAATTTATACAACTTTATAAAAGACAACACATACTCTTATAAATTATCTTTAAAAAAGTATTGAATAGTTTTTATCGCTTAGATTATCTTCTGTTTCTACATGTTGTATATTGTACATCTGTTGTTTAAGTCTTCAGAAAAGTGTTCCAAATTCTAATAGTACTAGAGAATAAGCATATTTATAAATTATATAACTGCTTCAACACCAAGTTATTGATAAATTTAGAAATAACGATTTCATTCGTACGAGATATAGTTAGTTTATATTAAAGAAAACCACTCAACGATTACGATCCATATTGTAATATACTATCCAAATAATAATTCACAGTTACATTTATAAAGTTTATGTTGATTTTATGAAATACAATTGTTCTAAATGATACATAAGGTATTTCAAATGAAGAAAATGTTTAATGGTATGATAAATAATTTAGTGTATTTTAAATGCTATTAAACTCTATTCCATGTTTGGCATTTAAAAAGTTAGTTCTGCAAATTCAAATTAATTTCACTTATAGCAAGTTGAAACAACTTCAAAATATTTCACTAGGCATAAGTGAACAAGAATAAAACTCTCTTTTCATTGTGGAAATGAATGTTGTAAACAATTTGGGAATGGTTGTATTCATTTAGGACCTTATATTTTGTATGTGAGAAGGATCTATATTCAAAAGGTAAATGTATCCTTATAAGTTATTAACTTGTGCATGAAATTACTAGGAATGGAGTATGATATGATTCATGTTTTATAAAACGTAATAATAAATATCTTGATAAGTAAAGGTTCTTTATTATACCATTGTTCTCATAATTAATTTACATACATCATGAAACAAAGAGATTCGTCGTAACTATCAACATGCCATGTCATATCAAGCAATTCGAATTTATACGTGCGTAAATATCTAATTGAAGAATTTAAGCTATTTGGAAGTTTATAAGGTATACACACGAGCAAATAAGTAATCCCTGATGACTTAAAATTATTGTTATCTCAATTACCTTGATTTATAAAAGCAGATATGCGATAGTTTGAAGGAAGTTGTATTGTATTATTTGTTACATGAAACGTAAGTGAATTCATTATTCAAACATTATGTTCTTAATGAAATTAGTTTTTCAACTATCTAACTAAATATTACAAGCGTCACAGCCAACTCTATAATGAAGCAATGAAGCTCATTTTTCGTGAAGTTTTCATTACATTGATATTACATATGCGTCCTTTTGTCTTTATCTTCTTGTATAAAAGTATTTTTTACATTTTATATTTATAAATAAGGTTTCTCTTATAAGGGAGAATGTTCAAAAATGCTAAATAAAGGTATCATTATCACGTTTCACTTGTCATTTACACTAACATTTCAAACTTGTCAACGTATCAGGTTAATTTATTATCATTATGCCATTGTGTCACATGCATTTGGGACTTTACGATTGTTAGAGGGCAGAATTTTACGCGGAAATTTAAAAGAAGATATTTGTCGAGTCTTATGTAGTTTAATCCATCTATTATTGATTAGGAAAGATTAGATTCTTTATCAGACTTCCAACGCGATTGCTACTTGTCATGTGCGTTGAATGGTATATTGAACTTAATTGTAATATATTGAAGTATATATATACATTATATGTATGCGCGCAGCGTTATAAATTGTCTAAATTGAATTGTTTTCCTGTTACTTGAATGTAAACAACAACGGAGGTACTAACTTTATTGTAAGATAAAACAATTTGTTTTCAGTACTTGTTTTTCATAGATAATGCTTGCATATCATTGTACCCATACCTATGTAGACTTATATTTTTCTAACTTGTGTATTTAATTATTTGTAACTGATATATAGTATCGAAAGATAGTTATGGAAAAGAAAACAGGGGACACCAGTCTCAGCACTGACCTAAATGAAGATGATGAAAATCAGTATGCTAACAATGAAAGGTATGAAGTTATAATTCTTATGGATGTTGATGTTAAATAAAACTTTGATATCTTTTTTAGATATAATGATACAAATGGACAACATTTTTTACTTCCCGGTGTACACTCACGTTCTCCAAAAATAGCTGTAGAGTATATTAGAAGATCTGACATGAATAGATATAGTCCAGCTCTGAAGAATCTTATACCAATACGTCATGGAAAACAGTATGTATTAAAATAGGATTCATTTTGATGAGTTGCTATTCAAGTATATTTTTATTATTTTAGGAATAAGGAAAGTATGCCAGCGGATAAGGCTGGATTATTTTCATACATTTTTTATACATGGATGACACCATACATATGGAAAGCATACAAAAAGGGTATTGATATGACAGATGTACCATATATTTCATCTTATGAAACTTGCAAATATAATGCACATAGGTAACTATATAATGCTAAAAGAATTAGCAGCAAAAAATTTGTTTTGTTAACTAACAATTTCATATTTAGATTGGAGATACTATGGCAAGAGGAATTAGGTAAACGTGGTCCACATTTAGCATCATTTCCAATTGTTGCCTGGAGATTTGTGAGAACCAGAATATGCATAGCTTGGTTGTTATTAACTTGTTCTACAATTTGTGGATTTATAAGTCCTGTATGCTTTTCATTTATTTATAAGACCTTAAGTTATTTAAAGATTTGATGCTGAAACATTACATTTTTTTTAGATGATATTGATGAAAAAAGTATTAGAACATGTGCAATCACCCGATGAAAATATATGGACAGGAATAAAATGGGCATTCTTATTGACATGCTGTGATCTTTTACGGATAGTATTTTTCAATTGGACTTGGAATACAAATATTAGAACAGCATTAAGATTGAAATCTGCTTGTACTACTCTTTTATACAAAAAAATCATTAGATTGAATAGCCTTGAAAATAAGAGTACTGGAGAGGTATTACTTTAAATATAAATGTTGTGAAATAATTACTTTTAATGATTTAATATCTATCATTATTTTATAATTGTAGCTGATTAATTTATTTACTAATGATAGTCAAAGACTTTTTGATGTAATCGTTTACGGACCTATGATAATTAGCGGTCCAATAATTGTTACTTGTGGTATAATTTACATATTATGGGTATTTAGCCCATTGGCTCTTCTTGGAACATTTGCTTTTCTTCTGTTCTATCCCTGTCAAGTAAGTAACATATTTCTTTTTTTTTTTTCAAAATTTGTATACATTCTTTATATTTCCAAGATTTTATAAATGACTATTTATTTTGACAGTACCTGATATCTCGTGTAGTAGGATATTTTCGTTCCAAGACTGTTGTGATTACCGATACACGAGTAAAATTAATGAACGAAATCTTAGAATGTATAAAGCTAATAAAAATGTATTCTTGGGAAAGGTATTTTAGTGGCAAACTTCTTGGTATGATTAACATTTTTTAAATATACTGTAACAATCGTTATTAATTTATATGTTTTATTATATTACAATCATTATTTTTCAGATACACGAAAAAAAGAGGAATATTGGTTACATAAAACTGTATATTTTCAAAGTCTTGCCATTTCTTTAACGCCTGCTGTACCTGTTATATCAGCAATCATTACGTTTCTAGCTCATTTATCTTCAGGCAGTAATTTAACTGCTGCGCAGGTATAGATTAATTTATGAATATTGACTTCAGGAGGAATATTAGAATAAGTAATTTTAATCGGCACTGACCAGAAACATTTATTCTGCAAAATGTTTGTTGAAGTTATGAAACAGGTTTCGCACTTATTGTTAATGGAATATGTATTGCAGGCTTTCCCAATTATAACATTTTTCGGGAATATGCTGAGATTGGCACTTGCCTCCCTTAAGAATACCACCCGATATTTTTTCGACGCTCGTATTGCCTTTAGAAGAATCAAGGTTTATATCTCGCAAAGTTTATACTTAAATTCATTTAGGTTTAGTTTATGATTAAATCGCATTCAGGTGCAACTTAAAGGGTAAACTATTACTAGCAAGTTCTCATATATTTGAAGTTAAACCAATTTTTTGTATTCACTGTAAAGTGAAAGTGAAAATTGATACAATTTGCACGGGAATTGTTTTAATCCCATGGTCAGGGGAAGCTTCTGATAACAGTTGCGGGTGTAAAGGGGAGAGTGCTGCATGCTGTGTAAATAAGTATAAAATAATTGCTTTTTCTCTTACTCCTCCTTGTGGCATTAATGTATGTACAGTATTATTTGACATTTTAAAAGTAAAATAAGCCTATAACAATAGAAATGGAAATGTTTGGGAACAATTTACGGGGAAATAATCTCTAAGTCATAATTTTAAATTATTGTATATTACTTTTCCAGGTATTCCCCTTCGTATCATTACTCAATTCCCAATTTCGTTCTTCTTTCATGTTTTTACAAGTGGCCCTGATTAATATCACTGAGTCAAATATAACTCTCAACAGATTACAGGTGTTTATTTTTGCCTATTTTGTTAATGATAATTACTAATCAAAATTGCACTTATCTTGCAAGTAACATTAGTATTATATATAAAATTTTTAAAAATTGCTTTTCTTGTGTGTTATAATAACGCGTAACGCTTCATAAATTATTTTATATTTAATATTAATTTATTTCATGTTTGGTGTTTTAAGAAATGTATATTAAATGTGGGAGCATTACTGCAATTTGCACTGCTTTTAAGTTAATGCTATTATGCATGCATGTGTGTGTTATATTATAAATTTTATTTAGTTCTCTTATGTTGCTAAATATTACACATAAGTGCTTTATGTAATAAATTTAATGTTTGCTTTGCTATTGGTTTGTTATGTTTAAAATAATTTTGTTTACGAAAAAGTTTTTGTATTCAACAAAATTTAGCATGCTGATACTAATTATTTGCTCTTACATTGTTCAAGTTACAGAAGGATATTATGCCACTTGAAACATCAATATATTAAATGTTAGTTTTTGTTTGAGAAAGTAGAATTACTTGGAGAATGTATTGATTTGAATAATAAGTTATTTTGATAGTATTAAAAATTTATGTACACTTTTAATAATTAGTAATATTTGTGCAGAATGTATTGCTTTTAGAAGAGCACACATGCCAAATATCGAAACCAATTGTGAAATCACAAGCTGTAGCCATTGCTAATGGTTCATTTGTTTATAAAAATTCTACTTTGCAAACTAACAAGTCAAAAAATGTTAATACAAATAAGAAGTAAGTTTTTTTTTTTTGAACTAACAGAAGTTTGAATGTTACTTTTTATCATATTATTTAATACATTTTTGTATTTATTCCAGCAAAATTGTATGGAATTCGAATGACAGGTGTGAATTAGAAAAACTCAATGAATCTTCCAAAGAAAGCCAATACATAGAAGTATTGACGGATATTAAATTTGGAGCAGCAAAAGGTGGATTGATAGGAATTTGTGGTCTTGTAGGAAGTGGAAAATCTAGTCTTCTACTTGCTGCCTTAGGGCAATTAAAAATGACAAGCGGCCATATACTGAGAGAAGGTTCTTGTGCTTATGTCAGTCAACAGGCATGGATTGTTAATGCAACTCTCAAAGAAAATATATTGTTTGGAAATCCATTTGATGCCAAACGATATTACCAAGCATTGACAGTTTGTAATCTAAAGGAAGATTTGAATATGTTACCAGGGGGGGATGAAACTGAGATTGGAGAAAGAGGTATAAATCTTTCGGGGGGACAGAAACAAAGAGTTGCCCTTGCTAGAGCACTTTATGCTAATAGGTGAGAATTTTCTTCAAATTTTATGGAAAATATAATTACATTTTCAAAAATCCCTTCTTTTATTTAAGAGATATTTATTTTCTGGACGATCCATTGAGTGCAGTGGATGCTCATGTAGGTTCTTATATTTTTAAAAATTTAATTCTCGGAGCACTCAGGAACAAATGTGTTCTTTTTGTAACTCATCAAGTGCAAGTATGTATTAAATATATAAAGATTTTATTTACATATAAAATTTGAATCATTGATAGTTAATGCTGTATTTTATTGATTGTAGTTTTTAAAACACTGTGATCAAATCTATTTAATGAACAAAGGAAGAATTGTAGAACAAGGTACACACGACGAACTAATGCAATTAAATAGAGAATATACTACAATGGTAAACAGTACAGTATTAAAAACGGAGGATAATTCAAAAGAGTATGCTATGTTCCATAAACAAGTTTTTAAAATTACAATTTTCATCGTATAAGTAATCTTTCTTATTATAAATTTATGTAGCAAAAATTCTACAGTGTCCCAAACAGATAGTGACAATCTTAGTTTATTGAAACAAATAGAAATTAACTCTACAGATAATTTGGGAAATGGTGATACATCGAAAGAAACACGTGGGAAAGGTATATTATACAAATTTATATTATTTCTTTAACAATATTTAATCCCAACATATCATAGGAGCATCTCTTACTACGGAGGAAAAGGTAGAAACGGGTACCGTAAAATCGTATACATATCATACATACGTAAAAGCCGCAGGTGGTTACATCGTGGCTATTGTGGTGTTTTTTACACTTTTTCTAAATGTTGGAAGTTCTGCATTTAGTTCTTGGTGGTTAGCTATATGGATTAAAGCTGGTGGTGGAGTAAATATTTTTTATATTTTTATACAGGTAAAACGTATGTCGTACTTTTTTTTTATACTTACCCTTCTTTTTAAGAACATCACCAATCTTGAAACGAATGAAACCATAATATCAGATAATTTGAATGACAATCCCGATTTCACATATTATCAAAAAATTTATGCTTCTTTCATTGGAGTTATTTTATTGACAAGTCTACTACGTGGATTAGCTATTACATACACTACGATAAGTGCCTCAACAACACTGCACAATAAAGTTTTTAAGAAATTGATTAGATCACCGGTAACATTCTTTGAAGTTACTCCCATTGGAAGAATACAAAATATTTTTAGTCGAGATATTGACGAAGGTAAAGCTTGTAAAATACTTTTGTATGTGTTAACATTCATATTATTTTACTTTTTTCTTGTTACAGTTGACAATTACATACCAATATCTGTAGAAAATATGGTTCAGAATATTTTCACTTGTAGCTTTGCAATTATATTTATATGTTCAATACTACCTTGGTTCTGTTTACCATTAATTGTTCTGGGCGTTATATTTTTTTATGTCGGCAAAGTTTTTCGGTAAGAATGATATTTCTATACACTATATTTTCTTATTTTCAAATACAGCAAAAGTAAATTTTTTTTAGAGTAGCAATGAGAGATTTTAAACGAATGGAAAGTAGCTCACGATCTCCGGTTTTGAGTTTCATTACAACTACTGTTCATGGATTAAGTACCATTCATGCATTTCAAAAAGAAAAAATATTTGTAACCAAGTACGCTTGTTGAAATAATTTGCATCTTTCGTTTAAGGAGATAAAGATAAAGACACTATTGAATTATAATATTTTAGGTTCGAAGAATTATTTGATTTAAACAGTTTGTGTGTTTATCTTTGTCAGTCAGCAATGAGGTGGTCTGCAGTAAGACTTGATAGTCTAGCAGCTGCTTCATCATCTATTACCGCGTTTCTAGTAATAGCGCTGAAATATCAATTATCTCCAGCCTTAGCTGGTTTAGCAATGGCATATTCTACCCAAATGACAGGCGTTTTCCAGTACACTGTAAGACTAATGGCAGAAACAGAAACGCGCTTTATAAGCGTTGAAAGAATAAGTTATTATTTGAGGGTAAATAAATCAGCTATTATTTGTAATATCTTTATAATAGCTGAATTATAAATAATGGTGCACACCAAATACAGAATTTGCAAGAAGAAGATACCCCTAAGAAGGATGCTATAAATCCTTCGAACGACTGGCCCGCTTATGGCAAAGTAGAATTTTCCAAAGTTCAGTTAAGATATAGGAAAGAATTACCATCGATATTAGATAACATTTCATTTGTTACTAAACCTGGAGAACATATAGGTAACAGCAACATAAAACTGTTTTTACAATTACTAATTATTTTTATATAACAATAAATTTTAGGTATCGTGGGAAGAACGGGCGCTGGAAAAAGTTCTCTTATCGTTGCTTTATTTCGACTAGTCGAAATATCTGCTGGAAAAATTAAAATTGATGATATAGATATAGGAAAAGTGAATCTAGAACTACTGAGAAGCAAACTGTCGATAATTCCTCAGGATCCGGTTCTGTTTAATGGAACTATACGGTAGATATAAACGAAAAAATAGGTTTTAGGATTGGAAACCTGGTAATGTTTATAATTATACGAATTACAGATCAAATTTAGATCCTTTTAAAGAATGTAGTGATTCTGAAATTTGGAGCGCTTTGGAGAAAACTAAATTGAAAGAGAAAGTAAAAAATATATCAGGTCAATTAGATGCATTTGTTGAAGTTGGAGGAGACAATTTGAGCGTTGGAGAGAGACAACTGCTTTGTTTATCAAGAGCACTTTTACGTAATGCAAAAGTACGATTCTGTAAACGATAATAATATTAAATTAATTTAATAATTTTCTAGTTGATTTAATAAGCAAATTTTAGGTATTGGTACTGGACGAGGCAACAGCTGCCGTTGATCCTGAAACTGAAGCCGCTGTACAAAGTACAATACAAAATGAATTTTTAAATTGTACTACATTAACAATTGCTCATCGTTTAAAGACTGTTGTATCGTGTGATCGTATTATCGTTATGAGGAATGGTCAGATAATTGAATTTGACCCACCATCCGTACTTTTATCCAACCCAGACTCGGAATTCTCAAAAATGATGGATGCTGCAAACAAGGCTATAAAAAACAAATAACAATATTAACGATAGTATTATATTTAACAAGAAAAGGAATTAATCCGAAATTAAAAACGATAAGTATTTTTTATAACATGCTACGCACATTTTTGAAAGAACTAATATTTCTTTAATACTGTATTAATTTTACAATTTAAAAGAATATATTTTTTATATATATTACAATGTATCTTACTATAAACGTACGTATTATATAAAGTCATCTCAAAATAAAAATAGTATGTGTATTTTATTTAAACGAATAGTATATTAGCAAAATGAATAAACTGGTTACATTAAATCAAATCGTATCGAGGAGCGCGCGTTTCATTCAAGATTTAAAATATTGATTTGCTAGTCGACGATAACGCTACTGCTCATGCTCGTTAAGCTTTCACTATCGGTTAAAAGCTCGAAACTCAACCAAAAAATGTTCGCCACTATGTCGCTAGCTTGTTGTTACTAATAAAATGTTTATTACACGTTAAGATTTATCGTTGCTTTATACTGAAATGTAGTCTATATGAATTGCCGTAAAGGCAGATTTCGTCGTCGTCCAAACTGTTAAAAAAAAGGTAGGTCAATTGTATTACATTTATAGACACAATAATTAGAACAGTTTGATGCTGCAGATTACAGATTTGATACATATCTTCATTTTTATCATAAGAAGGAAATGTTTACATGCTTCACGTTCTCTACACGTTTATTTAATCTTTTTATTATATAATCAGTTCGTTGTTATACATGACAATATTGAAATTAAAATTAATATTTACAATTACAGGCCTCACCATTGCGAACATAATTCCTATTATGATGTTGGGGCGCAAGCAGAGCCTCAAAGGGGAACCCGTCTTGGCCGATTACGGGCCAGAGGAGTCCCTCAATGAGAGCGCTGACATAGAATGGGTGAATAAGGTAATTCATAAAAATGCTACATCATTTTCTCTAATCATACATGGTGTACTAACTTACATCACAATTATCTGATAATTACAGCTATGGGTTAGAAGATTGATGAGGTCCTGTGCTCTAATGTCTTTAGCTTCAGTTTGCTTAAACACTCCAAAGACTTTTGAAAAAGTTCCACCCCTTCAGTACGTTACCTTTGTTTGTGATTTAATTATTACATTCTTATTTACTGCTGAAATGATTGCCAAAATGCATATACGAGGTATACTGAAGGTAAGCAATAAAAGCCAAAAACATGAAACATTGATACTGACTAAGTGACACTTTATTGTAGAGGGATAAATCTTACTTAAAGGATCACTGGTGCCAATTCGACGGGAGTATGGTTGTCTTCCTTTGGTTGTCCGTAATTTTACAAATGTTTGAGATGTTAGGTTTCGTTTTGAAATTCAGTTATGTATCGATACTACGAGCACCACGTCCCTTGATCATGATACGCTTCCTACGAGTCTTCCTTAAGTTCTCTATGCCGAAAGCTAGGATCAATCAAATTTTCAAGTAACAAACTCGTACATAGAGAATCTATAAAATCAAATCTCATCTAATTTCAATACTAATTGTATTATTTATCTTTTTCAGACGTTCGAGCCAGCAGATATACAACGTGACACTTTTCTTCCTTTTCTTCATGTCCTTGTATGGTCTTTTAGGTGTTCAGTTCTTTGGTGAATTAAAAAATCATTGCGTTCTGAACACAACAGATCCGAAACATATAACGATTAACAGTTTAGCCATTCCCGATACTTTCTGTTCCACTGATCCTGAATCAGGATACCAATGTCCAGATGGGATGACTTGTATGAAACTTGAGTTGTCCAAGTACATTATAGGTTTCAACGGTTTCGACGAATTTGGTAATAATATACACATTTTTGATTCAACACATTTGCTGTAGAAAGTATATATTACAAAAGTAATTATACCTTTCAGTTACCAGCATTTTCACTGTTTATCAAGCCGCATCTCAAGAAGGATGGGTTTTCATTATGTACCGTGCAATAGACAGTCTACCTGCTTGGCGTGCTGTTCTCTATTTCAGTACAATGATATTTTTTCTAGCATGGCTTGTGAAAAATGTCTTTATTGCTGTCATCACAGAAACATTCAACGAGATACGGGTACAATTTCAACAGATGTGGGGAGTCAGAGGACATATCAGTAATAATACAGCATCACAAGTCAGTAATAAATCATAGATCAATATATTTCACTCAGTTTTCTTTAGATTGAGTAAACAATTAATTGATTAATTAATATTGTTAGATTTTAACTGGTGACGATAATGGCTGGAAATTGGTAACGTTGGATGAAAATAAACACGGAGGATTGGCTTCTCCTATATGCCACGCCATACTTAGATCTCCTCAATTTCGTATGGTGGTGATGTGTGCAATTTTGGCGAACGGTATCACTACGGCGACCATGAGTTTCAAGCATGATGAAAAACCACGGCACACTTATTACGACAACTATTACTATGCCGAGATTGCGTTCACGATATTCTTGGATCTGGAAACGTTGTTCAAAATCTGGTGCCTAGGATTCCGCAGTTATTACAAGCATTCGATTCACAAATTCGAGCTGTTACTAGCAATTGGTACAACCATTCACATCATTCCGTTCTTCTATCTTTCTGGATTCACATATTTTCAGGTTTCTATATTAGTTTTCATTCAGCTCTAAAATAAAACAAATTGAACAATTAGAAGAAACGATAGACGGGGTACATGTACGGTTTTAAATTAACACCATGTTGTTTTCCAATTAGGTTCTTAGGGTAGTCAGGCTGATTAAAGCATCCCCAATGTTAGAAGACTTTGTATATAAAATATTTGGACCTGGAAAAAAATTAGGAAGTCTTATAATTTTTACCATGTGCCTGCTGGTTATATCATCCAGTATTTCTATGCAACTTTTCTGTTTTCTTTGTGACTTCACGAAATTTGAAACATTTCCAGAGGTAAAATATATATACAATTTCATGGAATTAGTTTGCTCAATGTTTTTTACTTAAACAATCAATACAAAATGTTTCCAGGCATTCATGTCTATGTTTCAAATTCTAACACAAGAAGCTTGGGTTGATGTTATGGACGAAACAATGCTAAGGACACACGAGACAATGGCACCTTTCGTTGCCATGTACTTTATTTTATATCATCTTTTCGTCACACTGGTAAAGACACATATGCATATTTTTAAATAAACATTCTTGTTAATGATGATGCGGTTAATAACTGTTTATTTTTTAAGATTGTGCTTAGTTTGTTCGTTGCCGTTATTTTGGACAATCTTGAATTGGATGAAGATATTAAGAAATTGAAACAATTAAAATTTCGTGAACAAAGTGCCGAGATAAAAGAAACTCTACCATTTAGGTTACGAATTTTTGAAAAATTCCCCGACAGTCCTCAAATGACATGCTTGCACAAAGTGCCATCAGACTTCAATCTTCCAAAAGTAAGTATTATTCTTTTATCACATAAATAACATAGTGGAAGTACTCACATTTTTATACGTATCTAATTAGGTACGCGAAAGCTTCATGAGGCAGTTTGTATTTGAGATGGAAAATGAAGAAAACGAGGGGGTGAAGAAAATAAATGAAACTTTCGATTCGAAAATGATATACAGAAAACAACGTCCAGTAAAGATTTTAAATAATCCACCAAAAGTAAGAAATGTTGTTACCAATCTGAAAAAAGCAGCTGTTATTTATATCATAAAGTAAGTAAAAAATTGATAACTTCTGTTATTATAATTTCAAATATTTATAATCACTTGTTTGATTATCAGTGATTCAAACAATCAGAGGCTATTACTAGGTGATTCTGCTATGATACCAGTACCAGGAAAGGGTCTTTTGAAGCCTCAGGGTACTGTTAGCAGTGCCAAGCAATTACGCATAGATCAAAAGAAGTAAGATTTCTTCAAGTTTAATGCGTTTTATATTGTAACCGATACATTCCTTAAATATTTTTTAACAGATCCATTAGAAGAAGCGTTCGTAGCGGATCAATCAAGTTGAAACAAACTTATGAACACCTAATGGAAAATGGTGATATCGGAGGTATAAATAGAGTTAGTTCATCTCGAAGTAGACCGCATGATTTGGACATAAAATTATTGCAAGCTAAACGTCAGCAAGCTGAGATGAGAAGGTAAGAAAGAATAATTTTTCACAATTAGTTTCAACACTTTTGCATCTGTATAAAATTTAACGCTTGTCACATTGCACCTTACTTAGAAATCAACGCGAGGAGGATTTGCGTGAAAATCATCCATTTTTTGATACACCATTGTTCGCGGTACCGCGAGAGAGTAAATTCCGCAAAATCTGTCAGTCGCTCGTTTATGCGAGATACGATACAAACGTGAAAGATCCGTTAACTGGAAAAGAGAGGAAAGTTCAATATAAAAGTTTGCAGTAAGTCCTTTCTACATTAAAGCGTGGCTGCTTTTAAATTCGCCTTAGATCATCTGTTTGAAGGAATTTCTATTAGTATTAATAACGGCCGATAATTACGCGATTTTATAGCAATTTTCTTGGCTTGGTCACGTACCTCGATTGGGTAATGATCTATGCGACGACGATGTCTTGCATCTCCATGATGTTCGAAACACCACGATATCGCGTGATGGAAGTACCGGCGTTGCAGATCACCGAATACGGTTTCGTGATCTTTATGAGTATCGAATTAGCTCTTAAGATTCTGGCGGACGGATTGTTTTTCACGCCGAAGGCCTATATCAAAGACGTGGCTTCCGTTTTGGACGTTTTTATCTACGTCGTATGTTGACAATCAAAGAATCACCAGTTGCATTTCGACGTGTAAAAAATACGTAAAGGCTAATTCAATGAACATTCAGGTCAGTCTCGTGTTTCTCTGTTGGATGCCGAAGAGCGTGCCACCGAATTCTGGGGCCCAACTTCTAATGATCTTGCGATGCGTTAGACCGTTAAGGATCTTCACCCTTGTACCGCACATGAGGAAGGTCGTTTACGAGCTATGTAGGGGCTTCAAAGAGATCTTATTGGTAACTAATCCTGATTAAACGTTATTCGATCTACCCTTTGATTATTTATCTTAACATTCGTTTCATAAGATTTGACGCAAAGTTCAGACAAAAAATGAATAAGAAGCTTTTTAGGTGTCTACTCTGTTGTTTCTGTTGATGTTCATATTTGCAAGTTATGGGGTGCAACTTTACGGAGGTAGATTAGCTCGTTGCAATGATCCCACTATATTGAAACGTGAAGATTGCGTTGGAGTGTTCATGAGAAGAGTTTTCGTGACGAAAATGAAACTACGACCGGGCCAAAATGAAAGTTATCCATCTATACTAGTGCCACGAGTCTGGTAGGATTATTAACAAGAAGATACGTATATAGATATATGAAGAACATTCTTAAGCAGTGAATAAAATATTTTAGGGCTAATCCTAGACGATTTAATTTCGACAATATCGGTGACGCGCTGATGGCACTTTTCGAGGTACTCTCTTTCAAAGGTTGGCTCGACGTTAGAGACGTTCTTATCAAAGCTCTTGGTCCCGTAAGTCCATTCATAACAATTTAAATCATTCATATGATGATTATCGTTTGATGATTTTTAGGTCCATGCTATTTATATCCATATCTATATTTTCCTGGGCTGTATGATTGGTTTAACATTGTTCGTTGGTGTTGTTATCGCTAATTACTCTGAAAACAAAGGAACCGCGTTACTCACGGTCGATCAAAGACGATGGTAAAACATTAATTAATTATTATATAATGTATATCTTAACATATTTGAGAGATAAGGAAATATACGTGTGTGATTGAATAGGTGTGATTTAAAGAAACGATTGAAAATTGCTCAACCATTGCACTTACCGCCCAGACCAGATGGAAAGAAATTTCGAGCCTTTATCTATGACATCACTCAGAACATATATTTCAAAAGATTCATCGCTGTCATGGTACTAATAAACAGTGGTCTTCTATGCGTTTCTGTGAGTTGAATAATTTTGCATTCTTTCCTTTTTTTTATATCACAATTATTTACAATACACTACACGAGCAACCGACACTGTTACAAAAATACTAATCAATTCTTCATATACAAACATATACACTCTTCGCTGAAGAACAGGATTCAATGACTGTTACTCTGAATCATTTGTTCCTTGCCGGCTACCATTAGACCGTGGTAAAAGTAAACCATACACGTATATGTACATACATGTTTATTTGCGTTAATGACTTTTTTTTATTTTTTCTTCCCCCCCTTAAGTGGAGAATCGAGGAAGAACACACGGAAGCACTCGCTACGGTGTCCACGATTCTGACACTGATCTTCCTTGTAGAGGTAATTATGAAAAACATTGCTTTTACACCACGTGGCTATTGGCAGTCCAGAAGAAACAGATATGATTTGCTCGTGACAGTCGTCGGTGTTATTTGGATCGTCATTCATTGTACAATGAAGGTACGTCGATTATGTTAGACACCGTCCAATGACCGTTTTCAATTAATTATAAATGTAATGACAGGAGTGCTTTCTTACAGAACGATTTGTCATACGTTATCGGCTTTATGGTTGTGATCCTTAGATTCTTCACCATTACCGGGAAACATACGACTCTCAAAATGTTAATGTTAACGGTTGGAGTATCCGTTTGTAAAAGTTTCTTCATTATATTCGGCATGTTTCTTCTTGTTTTCTTTTATGCGCTAGCAGGCACTATCATCTTTGGAACAGTCAAATACGGTGAAGGTATAGGAAGGTAATGTTAAGTAATTCCTTGAACAAAAAGGGATTAATGTTAAGTGTAAACAATTTAAATGGTGCAGGCTGTTTTTATTACTTCAACATGATTCTAAGACAGACGATTATCATTTAGGCGTGCCAATTTCGAATCACCTGTGACTGGTGTTGCCATGCTATTCCGTATTGTCACCGGAGAGGACTGGAATAAGATAATGCACGATTGCATGATACAACCGCCGTATTGCACTCCGGCTGCTAATTATTGGGAGACAGATTGCGGCAATTTTCATGCTTCCTTAATTTATTTTTGTACTTTCTACGTCATTATTACATACATTGTCTTAAATCTTCTGGTGGGTAAGTATCAATCTATCATTTCCAGCAGACATGTCCACGAAGCACATTTCTTTGAAGTAATACTGTACATAAAAATTGATCTTTCACGACAGCTATTATTATGGAGAACTTTTCCTTATTTTACTCCAACGAAGAAGATGCATTATTATCTTATGCTGACATCAGGAACTTTCAAAACACCTGGAATGTTGTTGATAATCATCAGAAGGGTTTCATACCAGTGAAACGGGTACATCGAAGAAAATTGTTGTAATCTTATTAAATTGTTGTAAATTGATTAGAAATAATGATGTATTAGTTTGTTTTAGGTGAAGTTTATTTTACGGCTATTGAAGGGTAGATTAGAGACTGATCCACAAAAGGATCGGCTTCTTTTTAAGCATATGTGTTATGAACTGGAAAAATTAAACAATGGTGAAGATGTTACTTTTCACGATGTCATCAAGTAAGCTTTCATTTTGTATGCAGTCATTATTCCTTCAAACATTTATTTGATTTATGTATTATATTTTCTTCAGTATGTTATCGTATCGTTCAGTTGATATAAGAAAAGCTTTGCAACTTGAAGAACTGTTAGCAAGGGAAGAATTTGAATACATCATCGAGGAAGAAGTTGCAAAGCAAACTATTAGAAATTGGTTGGAGGGTTGTTTAAAAAAAATTCGAGCAAGTGGAGTAAGTACTGGAACAACGGATAATCCTTTGTTTAGTAATGTTAACTCATACCTTATTTATTGCAGAAACAGCAAAATAGTCTTGTGGCACGTTTGCGTGCGAACACTGATCAACCTGTACCTCAACAAGAACATCCAGAAGAAAAAGGGAAGGAAGTAGCTAAAGAAGAAGAAACTGAAATAAAGGTAAATTATTATATTAAATATTACAGTTTGTTAATTTGTAAAAAATTCTGATTTTCATCAAACCTTACCAATATATTTGTTGTTAAATAGGATACAGAAGCAGCTAGACACAAAGTGAAAAAACCAGGGGTTCTTCCAAGATCAGATAGTATAGGTAGTGGATCAGGAAGAAAGTATTTGACTCCAACATTGTCAGATCCTGCCTCCATTAGATCTGAGAAAGATAAGAACACAGCACCTAAGAAAAGAAACAATAGGCCACCACGTAAGTATATTCTTGGATTAGATATCCTTATCTTTTTACATCGTGTTTTCCTTCAATGTGAGCTTTCCATTTGAAGCGGCTGCGAAAAATAATTTACCAAATCTCGCAGAAAGCACAGAACCAACCAGACAACAGCGAGAAGTTGTTAATGCAAAGACAACTGTACCAAAACCTTCTAGTGTTATGTTAGAAGTTCGGGAATGGTGGAAAGAACAATTGGCATACAGTAGCGAGTCCAGTGAAGACGAGGTTTAAATAAATTCGTGTCTTACGATGGGTATTTTTAATTTCAAATATGTGTTGAATATTTTAAAAAAATATTTCAATCAAATTGAAAATGATCCAAACACGCGTCATGTTTCTTGTACATATTTTATTTTTATTTTTCTGGAGACATTAAAAATTGGTCAATCGAATTTATCAAAATAACATTCCAAGAAGAAAGACCTGTATTCAATATTAAACGTTTTAATGTACCTTTTTAGTTCTTACCGTATAATTTCACAAGGTAGTTTCATATGTGAAAATTTGTAAGCTGGACGTATAGTAGAAACATGTAGAAACATGATTTGTATTAATTTTTTAATTGTTAGTTTGTATTAGAGTAGAACATTTAGCAACAGTATATTATATTGGAATGATAACAAATATTATTTTATTACTGCACGAGGGAATTGTAATATATAGTTTTAGTTTTTGAACTATTTTAACGTATCATTTGATACCAAGCTTTTCGATGATTGTTCATTTTCATCCCTCATAATTCAACTTACAAATACTCAGGTTCCACAGAGATTAATGTTTTGTAGATAACAGCGCATTTTTGATATATTAAAGATAATTTGTTAATTAAGTATGTTATATATATATATATATATTTTTTGTGCTAGTTATTGGTGTTGAAATGTGAAATTTGTACAGAATTATAAAATTAGATACAGTAGGTTTTATACAACATGAAATGTTAAATCAAATTGATATTGTCAAGGAAAACTGTGAGTACAATGTGAAGTTTGATATATTTATGTAAAGAAATTAGTACGAATTTGTTCATTTTCGATAGAAACATTACGTCCTGAAGGCCTGTATTATAACGATAAGAAAGTAGGAAATTTAATACTGGTAGTTATAAAGCTTTTGCATATGACTGTAAATGTAGCGTTTTTGTTATGCATATAGATATAATAAAACCTGAATGATTTGATACATTCCACAAATAATGATTTAATAATACAAATCGCTTGGATAAAACAGAGTATATCATACTGCAATATCATTTCGAGTGTATGAAGTTGAATGATATAGATATAATTGAATGAAATGAAAATGTGAATAGAAGAAATTGTATATAAAAAAAAAATGCCTAAATATTAGAGATATATATTTAAACGAAACAGCACAACTATTTATATCTATGTGATATGAATTAGTTTTATATATATATGTTATATATATATAAACATAAAACAGAAAGCCTTAGAAATATAAATATTGTTTACAGTACTGTAATGAATGTTGATCACTGTTGCTAGTTTATGTGCCAATATGCTATACTGTAATATGAAAAGATAATAAATGTTGATAGACATAATTATTAGAAGACTACTTTAGTGAAACAGGAGAAGAAACAGTACAATTTCAAACAGATTGTTTATTATTTATTAAAATATCTAATACAGTACAAAAATTCATGGCAAATTTATATAGTAAAAAAATATAAAATGACTTACGTAAATAAAGAATTTACATAAGAAAGATATTATCGTCTGCAGCCATAATTTGATTAGCATCGGACATTTTGTTAATTGCAGCGGTAATTTCTCCCGGTGTAAACTCTTCGGACTGTTCAGCGTTAATATATTCACGTACTCTTGATAACGGAAGTAATTGTGCCCTTTGTTGTTGGAATAACTTATGCAGAAGTGTTCTAAAGACTTTAAGTCTGAAATCAAATGACGTATGTATATAAACGTTTTTAGAATTGAAAAACCTTTTCACTGACAATGAAATTTCAATGTGATTTAATCGCTCACCTTTCATCGGTAATAGTTGCGGGTGTTTCTGGTACAACAGGTTGATCAGAGTCCGGTGTTGATTGTTGATCGGATTTTGATCTAGTCGTTTTTATTTGTGATCTAGTTACTTTTCGTGTAACTTCATCGATATGACTATCATCTTCATTTTCAAAATCATATGGGTCATCTGATGCTGCATTTGTTTTTCTTGTACGTTTCTTCTGTTTTTCATGCTCGTCTTCCCCGGCCTGGCTATCTTCGCTATCGTGTCGTCTTCGCTTTCTCTTTTCTTTTTCTAGAACTCGCTTAAAGTAAGCAAATTCAACGAGTTCTATCGCTGCAAAAGCATCATCAGCAGTAACATTTTTTGATAAACGAGCTTTTGCGTGTGCAGTAGACAATCGAATCAATGTTTCCAAAGTACGAGCTGTTACAGGTTGTGTCTAATAAGCAAATAATGAAAAGTTAGTAGAATAATAAGCAGAGTGTTTCTAAATAAATAATAAACATTGTATACCCTCGCTAAATCGGAATCTAGTGATTCTTCTGATCGCAACTTTGAGTACTCGCTGGCAATAACTTCACAAGCCTCTTCTGTAAGTTTTGGTTTCATACAACGAGCTATGTGAATATATTTTCTCATAAAGTTTATAGTTAAAATTTGATCACTGAAAGACATTTATTGTTATATTAAACGTTATATTATATTATATATTATAATAATTGAAACTACACCTTTTTGAACGGGACAGACCATGCAGCAAAGGATCATATTTTTGATAAACCTGAGTTTCCGTGTTTTCATTAAGAATTTCATCCGGATTTTTCGTAGTTAATATATCTATTTTACTACCCAGTGGTAATGCCTCCCCATCTTGCTCTGCAGGATTTCTATATCTATGCATTCTCACAACATGATCACTTATTATTTGATCCTGTTCAGGATCCACTGTATCTAGCATCACAAACAACAGATCAAAACGTGATAGTAGTGAATCTTGTAGACCAATATTTTCCATTGGTGTTTTATACTGATCATACTGCAAGAACAAACATATCGTATAAAATAAATAAACATTATTATTTAAAGTAAGGAATTATTTTCAGTAAATAAATCTTACTCTTCCGTAAACTGGATTTGCAGCCGCCAATACCGAACACCGTGCGTTTAAGCTAGCGTGTATTCCAGCTTTAGCAATAGTTACTTTTCCTTGTTCCATTACTTCGTGTATCGCTGTTCTATCAATATCCGACATTTTATCAAACTCATCTATACAAATAATTCCTCGATCTGCTAATACCATAGCACCAGCTTCAAGTCTACGTTCTCCAGTCTCATTATCCACAGTAACAGCAGCTGTTAAACCAACACCCGAAGATCCTCTACCGGTAGTTGGAATTGCTCTTGGCGCCGTACACAGAACATAACGTAAAAGTTGTGATTTTGCAACAGATGGATCACCTATAAGTAACACGTTAACATCCCTGCGAAAATTGAAAATTAGACTTTGTTGAAGTTTCTTTTTCTTATACATTATATGTAAAACTCTTTACCCTCTTAATCTTGTACCGTTAGGTAACAGTTTCTCCACACCTCCAAGTAATAAACACAAAATTGCTTTTTTTACATAATCATGCCCATGTATAGACGGGGCTAGCGATTTACTAAGTAATTCAAAAATATTTTTACACGCATTACTTCTGGCGAGTTTCTTACACATAGCTACATCATTATGAGAAATAGTTAGATTAGCTTCTTTGCTTAACTGCATGACATTATTAGCAATTAAAATTGTTCTGTAAAGATAGGTTTGAATGTTTAATTTCAGGTATAACATTTAAAAGTTTTATTGTTGAATTACCATACTTGAAAGTCCCTGTTGTATATCCTCCATATTTACCAGGGAGGCATCTAAAACTTCCAACAATCTGAACTCTGTCTCCAGGTTTACAAAGATCTACCAAATCATTATCGCATACAACATCAATGCTTCTTGGTAGCTGACCAGTTGGTGCTTTTTCAGGCATTTCTTGTATAGTTATTGTCTGATGATCTTTGTAAGTAGAAAGACCAAATTCTGTTTCTAACAAGTTGCCATCATCATCCTACATTGAAATATTAAAAATATATCGAGTATTCTATTCACTCGGAAATAAAATAATATATTACAAATATTTACTGTAGTTGGATACACAGCTGCTTGTGGAAATGCTTCAAATGAAGTAAAATCAGTGTAAGCTCTTTCTGTTACAGTTTTAGTTGCACTGCAATAATGAATACTTCTTACAACCTTTGGCCTTACTAAGGAACCTGTAGAAAGTTATAATATATATTATAAAGAGCTATACTATAATAAAATATAAACACAAAATAAAATAAACAGAACTCACATTTTGTAACAATACCTTCCAGACATACCAAGTTACCCAAGAAATGTGATGTAAGAGTTCTTGGTGTAACATGTTTACTTCCAAAACTTCCTTCAAATCCTATAAATAAATCTAAATTTTCTTTAGCATAATCCGTGTCAATGCTTGCAACAAATTGTTTTAGAGCAAGTTGAAAAGCTTGATGCTCTTCAAAAGAATTATTTAATAGGCTATAAGAAAAATTAAAATTAGTATTGTAAAACATATTATAAGATGAATATTAATATAATATATTTGTGAAATAAATGGAATATATTTGTTAGGTGCACCTTGATGCACGAAGAGGATTCTTTCTTCGCAAATCATTAACATTTACGTATAATCTGTGTTTGTTTTCTTCAATCATGTTCTTTACAAGAGTAGTATAAATTCCTTGGTCCTCCTACAGTACAATTACAAAATGTAATTCAATTATTAACTGTGTACTTATGCAAACTTACCATATCATCTAAAAAATCCAGATATTCTTTTTGAATATCTTCAAATCTTTGATCCCTATCAAAACCATCCATTTTGACTATGATTAAACTTTATATCTTAACACAATACAATTCCTATAAATATCTTTTGCAGTTGTAAAACTAAGTTAGTACACAAATAAACGAGCAACGTCCCTCTAGGGAAAATGGCCGTCGAAGCCAGCGAAGGGGAAAGCGTCCCCATGACTGGGTATGATTATGATACCGCGAGTCAGTAGGCATTATACCTAATTCATAGAAGGCACGAGTGCGACCCCCGGTGTCGGCAACATGTTAGACACCCGAGATGGGCACTTGTGTGCCAGACGTAGAGGGCTCCAGGGTAATACAAATTAAGTCCCGGAGCCCTTCTTTAGCGCCAGTGTTGGTCGCCGTGGGGTTTTAGTCAGTAAGAATCTGACACTCCCCCGCCGTCCGCCCCCAGTGGACGGTGGGGGGTCTTATGCAAGATTTCCCCACGTTAAAAAAAAAAAAAAAAAAACATTTACAACCACTTATTCCCTTACATTCCTATATTCCTTACAGCCACTAATTCCCTTACATTTCTATATCCCTTACATTACTGCATCCCTTACAGCCACTAATTCCCTTACATTCCTGTACCCCTTACATTCCTGCATCCCTTACATTCCTACATCCCTTACATTCCTATACCTCTTATATTACGGCATTAGACCGCGAAAAATTGTGAAAAATTTAGTTCCTTTTTTCGCCGCCAGAGAGCGCTGATTCGACATCGAAAATTTAGTTCGCATTTTTGTCGCCAGAGGGCCAAAATTCCCGCATGCTTTAGTTCCTTTTTTCAAAACCAGGTGGCGCTGATTCGACATCGAAAATTTAGTTCACATTTTTGCCGCCAGAGGGCCAAAATTCCTGCATGCTTTAGTTCCTTTTTTCAAAACCAGATGGCGCTGATTCGACATCGAAAATTTAGTTCGCATTTTTGCCGCCAGAGGGCCAAAATTCCCGCATGCTTTAGTTCCTTTTTTCGCCGCCAGAGAGCGCTGATTCGACATCGAAAATTTAGTTCGCATTTTTGCCGCCAGAGGGCCAAAATTACTGCATGCTTTAGTTCCTTTTTTCAAAACCAGATGGCGCTGATTCGAGGTCGAAAAGTTAGTTCACATTTTTGCCGCTAGATGGCACTGTTTTCGGGAAAAATTTAGTTCAAATTGTAGGAAATAAAGCGATTTGTGGGTTGCAGGGCTATAAGGGAAGCAGGGTTGTAAGAGGAACAGACATAGGGCGATATCAAGGATTGAAGAGTGTAAGGGATGGAAAGGTGTAAAGGATAGTGGGATGTTATGCATACGGAGACGTGAGGGACGCAGGGATGTAAAGATGATAGAGGAGTAAAGGATGCAAGGATATAAAGAAAGCGTGGATGTAAAGGATGCAGTGATGTAAGGGATGCAGGCATGTAAAGGATACAGGGATGTAAGGGACTAAAACCCCACTTTCGATAACTATTTATCTATGTATATATTTGTTTCCCTCTGAGGGTAATTAAGGGGTGCGTTTTCTCACCCTTTATCCGCGGGGGTGGCGTATTCTAGGAACTATTGGTTGGCGGTGGCACCTTCCCCTCCGCTGACTTTGATCGCCATTTTCCCTACGGGGACGGCATGCGCGATCGAGGGTGTATCTGTAGTCACTGGTTTCAGTCATATTCGTACTGACTTTTTGATACGATGAAGTAGAAAACAATATATTATTTATTATGTAATGGTTGAACATTATACATAATGGCTTTCAAGGATTAGGAACTATATAACATTACCTATTACTTTTAAAGTATTTCAGGAAAATGTTGATGAATGCAATGAATGTTAATCTTGAATTTTTATTGTATGGGAAATAATTTGTTTTCTTTCGTGCGACATCTTTAAATTCAAACAGCGTGATAATATATTGTCTGTCAACGTAATCACGTGTAAATACGTAATTATATTTTGAAGCATAAAACCAAATTTATTTAGCACCATGCACTATTATTTTTATACTCATTTTGTATAGTATGGGATTTGTAAAACATTAATAAAAAGGTTGACTTCATTTGTTTATAATAGGTGGTAAAAATAAGTTATTTTGTACACACCACAGAAAGACTGTTATTTAAAAGAATATCATTGTATTTTCTACATTACAAATTTTGCAAACAATGCTTTAATTTAGATGCATCTATTATTTTATTTGTATTTAATATTGTTTTATCATTAATAAGCAATATACTCCTACAGAAATGCTGATGATAATTTAATAACATAGGTAGATTAGTTTGTAAGGGAATGATTCTATTAGATACTACATTTAATAGGCATAATACAATATTATACAGAGTAAGATATGCTTGCTTTATTTAATCATAATTCTTTAAGCATGTTCAAATAGGATTGCAGTATGTATAGTATTTCATCTTAAAGTGCACATGTACAATATTTTAAAGGAGACAGTGCATGAAATTGTCCCAAAGAAGAACCAGAAAAAAATGTTGTACTGGCTGAACTTGCTAGTAGCCAGATCTAATTTAATTTTCACAAAAATGGTTTGAATCCTTTTTATTATTATCAACATTCTTTCATTGTACTATTCACATTTCATCTGCTTTGTTATGCAACTATTATTATTGTAACAGGATCATAATAAATATTTCTGAAATCATTACAGGAACATATAAAATCAAGGAAACATGAATTTAAATTATATACAAGAAAATCATCAAATGAAAAGACATAGTAAACTTTTATATCGATATGGATATTTTCTATCAATGCTTTTCTGTATGATACTTGCATCTATTAGACCACACTTTGGCAAGACAAATGGTATTTCTTATAAAATTATTGTATTTATAGTTAAGAACAATATATATATTGTTATTTTTATATTGCATATTTTAGGTATTCTCAATGGGAATGTTATCATTCGATATTTTGCTGTGCCTTTAACATATCTGGAAGCAGGTTTATTATGTGATCCTAAATCACTATATTCAACATTAAACAATGGCCCTCTTTTAATATTTACAATGATCTTTATATACATACTAATGCCATTTTTAATGAAGATCGGTGTATATTTATTAGTATACGCCGATGTTAATATATGGCTGTTAAAAGGAATGGAGGTAAATAAATACAAATAAAGATATTTATAGAATACCTATGAATCATTTCTTTTTTCTAGGTACTTTACTGCATGCCACCTCCATTCAATACAAGTTTTGTTCTATGTAGATTGGCAAAAGCAGACTTGTCAACAAGTATTGTGATAACTTTGGTATCTCATTTCGGAGGATTATTTATATCTCCTATATTATTATATTTTGTGGTAAATTACATATACATACATCGATTATTTTATAGAAGTTGTTTCATGTATCACTTATTTGATAAAAATATGTATGATTTCTGTTACAGTTAGGAGCATCTACACCTCCTCTGGTTGGTGTAAACATCAAAGAAACCGTGTATAGTACAATTATACCATTAATCATTGGTATTACAATTCAAATTGTTATTTTAAAGTATGATTTTTGTTTCAAAGTTAAATCCCCATGGTTTTCTCAAGCATTGTTATTAGCTACAGCGTATCACTGGTTTTGTGATGCAGTCTTAGTGGATGCATCATCTTTACAAGCCACTGATGTATTACTGTGTGTATTAATAGGTAAGTTTATTGTTACTAACTGTACTAATATTACATTCTTATGAGCAGATAAATGTTACTAATAATCATTGTGACAATTGCATGTATTTATTTCAACTTAATGCATTAAATGTATCACTGATTTGAAGTAAATGCATAATATGATAGCTTTCATTAACTCATTGTGGCATTAGAATCTCTTATGTTTAAGCTTGCGTGGGACAACTCTTTGTTAGCTGCTTATGTTGGATTTTGTGCTCTCAATGGTTACCTCGGGATATCGTACTAGCTACACTTTTTACAAGTACTCACAAATCAGTCGGTCTTGGCAGTTGGATTTTACGTGGTGCTTATCATGGTTCAGCTCATGGCCCAGCAGTGAATTTACCATTATGTATACTACCAGTTGCACAATTATTGTTGGGTAGTTTATTGGCTAGTTGGTTGTCTCCATAATGTAAAAAGTCTCACATGTAAAATTTAAACGATGTTATTTATATTTTATTCCTTGTTACAAATTGCATGTATGTACTATTTATTTTTTTAAATGTAATTTATTTTCCATTTTCTTATGTGCTGTTTGATACATGTCTCAGTTCGTTGCTCTTAAAACAGTACAAAAAGTACATGCTACTTTTACAGTAATTTTGATTCTGAAATACTGTACAACGATTTACTTAATATTATTGAAGAAAGAAGAGATTATTTTAAATACCACATTAGCTATATTAGAAAGAATAGTTTATAGGAATGGAGTAAAAAATTGTTTTTCTTGACAAAATAAATCGATCTTTTTATTCTTATTTCATAAATTGATACCGAATGTAAGTAAAAAAAATTAGCTATATAAAAAAGTTGCCTTAGTAACTAGTGTTTGAATTTGAAATAAGAGAAATTTCTTAAGTAAATTACATTTTTAGAACGTAATATTTAAAACTAAATTGTCTGCATCATTGAACTTTTAAAAATAAAATACTTAATAAAATATTGGGTAGGATTTTACTTGGAATTATTTTCAAAATGTATCAAATAAGTTTATTTCTATGTATAACGAAATGCCAAAGGCATTAAAACATAGTCTGTGATTTTCTTTTTTCTAAGTTTCACGTACAGTGCACACGAAATTTGTTTATTGCAGAATTTAATACTTACCTTGGAAATTAATATTAAGAATTTGTATGTAACAATTATATATATATATATTATTTTTTCAGTATATATTGAAACAACTAGTGTAAAATTATGCACGAATAAAGTTTTCAATTCTAATCAACTTAGTTTCATTGACATTTGACAGAAAGAAATCATGACAATGATACATTACACTGTACATCATTACAGAAACAATTTTAAATAGTACATTAAGTGAAAGTAAAAAAAAAAGAGGAGAAACCAATTACACTACTCAAAGCGTCATACGCTATATGTTACGTGATAATTATATAATAAATTGTATTTGTATCTTACAAGTTATAAATATAGTTTCCTCACTTTCGATTGTAAAATTTTTGAAAATTATAAGTATCTACTTATTCTAAAAGTCTGGCTACAGTTATCATAGTTATATCTTAAAAGAAATAACAGTAGACAATTCACAGTACTACACACGAAAGAAAAGGACTGAAATTCAGAATAAGATGTTTTCCCATACAAAACATAGCGATTTTATTCTACAAATAATGGGATAAATTTGGTTAGTTTTTTTTTTCTTGTTGTAAACTTGCATATCAGTTTTCTATTTTGCAACGCGCACTTCTGTACGGTATGTTTCTTTATAATACCGCTATAATGCGCACGCGAATATATTTAATAATATTAACAAATAGTGTAACACTCATGATAACGTGTATGAGCTCGTAACCTGATTTTTTCGTGAAAATCATGGCATTTGATGCATCAAACGACAGTGCAGTAATGGCGCAAGTGTTGGGCACATATTGATTTGCCCAAGTCATTACACAGTCATTATAGCTGGTACCAAATTTATGTCACGAACGACGCTGACCCTGCTATCGCCGCCAACTTCGAGATTCACCATCTTCGTCCTCTTCCTCTTCGTTTTCCTCCAGAAGTAATGCTTCAGCGTTACCCTGTTGAGGTTTTAAAAAAAGAAGAAAAAAAAAATTGCAATTAAATAAAACAATATATAAACAGAATAGATATATTTTTTTAAAAGAATTTAAAGCTCACTTCTAAATCAACATCTTCATCGGTGGTAGGTGGTGCTTGTTCTGAACGGGAGGAAAGTTGTACGGATGTATTTGTATTACTACCACTTCCGCCACGATGTAAGTGATGCCCGGATACCCATGTAATCGACAGTAATCTATCTTGAAATGTGCGTCCCTTTGCTAAAGCTACCTCGGCTTCTTTCCTGGATTTATAATTGATTACAATCGAAGGGGTCGCATCATCTACTATTTGACTCACTATTTCTCCGAATTGCTGTAACATAACGAAGTAAATAGCGATAACAGAAAATAACGTTCGAGTAATTAGAATGATAATTGTTAATCCTTACTTGAAAATGCGCTAAAACTTCAGCCTTTTCTTCGGTTTCGTAACCAGAGACTAGAAGACTCGTAGGTCTATGATCTACCGAAACATGAGTAAAACTACCTCTACCACGACCCCTGTATGATAATGCATGAGTACCTCGTATAACTCTACTAGGTCTTGTACCTCTACCGACAGCCGTCCCTGTATTTAAACCTAACGCAGCGGCCTGAGCTCGTAATTCATTTAATCTCTTTTGTAATTCACCGGCATCCTGTCCCTCCTGTTGTGCAGTCATTAAATCTAACTCGGCGTCTAAGATTTCTTTCTGCGTTTGTTCTCTGGATTTTACTTGCGTCTTATTACCACCGATTTGACCATTCGCAGCTAAATCCTTGCGTAGATTGTCGATAGACTGTTGCATGGTTTTTATCGTAGCCATAATTGCATCTTTTTGTTCTGGATTTTTCTCAGCCTTCTCGATCAAAGCTCGTATCTCTATCAAATGCTTGTCTAGTAATTCTTGTTTTCTCTTACGCAAATCAGCGGTTAATTTTAACGCCTCTTTACGTTTTTCCTCTTGTTTTTTCTTTAACGTTTCCTTAGCAGCTAATATCTCTTGTGTCTTTTTTATTGCAAGAACTTTTTCTTCTCGTGTAGGAACAGGTGTAGTTTTTGGTGAGGTGGGAACCGTGGTTTGGGTAATTTGTTCTTCGGTGGAACGACGAGTAGGAATATATTCATTTTCATCGGTTTTCGCTGGCACATTAACAGCAGCACCTAATCTCTCTTTGACAGATGGACGGCAACCTAAATAAATGAAAGAAAGTGTTAAGTTAACTAAACAATTGTCACGCCTAATGATTAATGAAATATTTCAAAGTATCAGCTTACCCGGTGGTACGTTTTCAATAGCGCCACCGGCTGCATTGTTGTTAACATTGTTATGCCAAAAAACTTTGATAAATCTATTATTCAACACAGCCTCTGTACTTCTATATGCAGCCTTTGCCTCAGCTGGTAGCTGGAAGGTGACCAACGCTCCCTCAGGATCTCCACCGAAATTAACTTGGATATTTACAATTTTACCGAATTTCGAAAAATGATTATTCAACTGGGTTATATTGTTCAGGCTACGCGGAACTTTCTTTAATTCCAGAGAACAATTAGCTGGATTATGTACCACACGTTGTTTTGGTCCAAGACGATTGAAATCAAATGCTTGTTTACGCTTTAATGGATTTGTTTGAGTATGCGTTACTTCAGATGAATTTGTATGTGGAATTACTGGTACGCTAATCAGTTCTCTTTGACCCCTCCCATAAATACCAGGTCCGGGTTGGGGATGTCTTCCCCATGGCATTCGTGGTTCCATGCTTGGCGCATCGGGATTATATTCGGCAAAAGCATCTGTCAGCATTTATTTCACATTCTATAATCATTTGTTTACAAATATAATCACTAAAAATATAATAAAAGAGCCCCTTACCCATGTTAGAATGATGTTGATTTCTTAAATGCGGCGGAGGTAAACTTGCAAGAGGAAGGTGTTGCGGTGGAGCATTTCCATTAGGTCCTGGAGGTGGTTCTGGTACGGCTGTTACAGGTACTGTTCCTGGCGCTTGAGCACTATGCGGGCCAAAAGTTAAGACCCGACTTAGAGCTACATCCTCTAATACAACTGGATCTGTACCATGATCGTAAGGGCATAAATCTCCTCTCATGCAATATCCCTTTTCTGCAAGTGTAGATTCTGTATGTTAATTTCATTTATTTTTAATAATTCAATAATTAATTGACCTGGACGATACAAACCATCAAAATCTCTGCACCTCCTTTTCGTTTGAAAACCTGGTTGGCTATTTGGAACATTAGAAGCAACAGCGACCACGCTTTGAATTGATTGACTAGTAGTAGACAATCTCATGTCTACATCTCCATGATTACTATCCTGTGTTGGTGTACCACCCCCAGGACTTCCTTCGATTCGATCTGTTCGATCCACGTCCATTCTTTCAGAGCGGTCTATCTTTTTACGATCTAACGATCGCGATCGGGATCTAGATCGAAGAGGTGTTGGAGATCTGTTCCTAAATCGTGCTCTATGATCTCGATTATCAGGACCATCTCGTATCCTTGGTCGTATCGGTGATGTACTACGACTTCTACTTCGTCTATAGAGAAAAAGAGACCAGGCATTAAAAAAAAAAAAGATTTATGAATTAAAATACTTCATCTTTTGATGGAAATATTATAAAAACCTTCTATCATGCCGCCGTGTATTTGGTGGTGACTCGTTTCTCCATGGCCGACTCCTATCGCGTTCTCGATCACGTCGGATATGTTCCCTGCTCCTAGACCTACGTCTATCTCTTTCCCACGAACGTGAACGCGATCTTGTCCTAGATCTCATTCGGCCGCTCCTGAAACATATGCAATTTCCATTGTCAGATAACATTCGGATAGTTTAAAACTTTTTTACAATCCAAACGAAACTCACCGACTTCGAGAACGTTTCTCTTTTTCTTTATCAACTTTATCAGAGTCGGATTTTCTGGTTTCGCGTTTACCTATTGTCATAGGTGCAGATCCATTCATCTGGAGGGGAACAGGGGGATTTGTATTCACAGAAGCAATTGGAATTGTACTTTCAGTTACTTTTTCCACGGCTAATGCAGGTGGTGGTGGATTCACACCTGGAGGCGTGCCACCACCATCCGGATCATTTTTTGCTGGTGGAAGTACGTATTCTTGAGTTTCCAACGTTTTGAATAGTAATTCCACAAAGTTTTTGGTTTCTACAAAACGAGAATATTATAGACTAAACTGAAGTAACCGATTAATACTTTCCATATGCATTGGTTTGATACAAAATGCAAAGTACCTTGTTGTAAGAATACATCAAGTTGTTCAACCATTCCACCCCGTAACTCTTCCAATGTTTTATCCTTCTTCACAAGAGCATATACATATTTTGCTAATGCAGCAGGATCTGCATCACAACTACAAAATTAAACAGATGATAATTATTCACTGTGTAAATAGATATCTATAACTGCAATTCATATTAAAGTGTCATGATCAATTTTCACCTGATTAGCTGTATTATTGTGTGACATAATTTTACATGTTTACAGATTATAAAATATAAGTAGAATGATATTATTAAGTCAACAAAATCACATATGATGTTAATTACAAGGATTTAACTAATCTATTAGATATTAGTAATAAAAACATTTTCAATAATACAAAAAATTAATGTACATATACAAAATAAAAATATTGTTTCCACAAAATTATGCTTAATTAATGTACCCTATTTTTACACTTGTCTATTAGCTCTTAAAATATGTATGAAGAAAAGAAAATTAATGTTCCTAATAATAATTCATTTCAGAAGGAGAAATTATGTTTTGTTTAATAATTAATGTCAACAAATCCTACTAAAATAAATCATTCTTTTAGGTTGTTTATATGGAAAGATTATGAAGTAAAATGCATCTTTATGTTGCATTATTCGATGAAAATACATATAGGCTTTACATTGCAGGATAAAATGTAACAAAATTAAGTAATCTTTGTTCAATCATTTGAAAAACGTTTCCTATAAGATAGAGATGAAACACATCAGTTAGGGAGATATTATTGTGAAGTTGGTTGTTGTTCAATGCATGATAAGCCTGGCAAAAGAAGTTGGTCCGAAATGATCTATCAACAATCATTTAGAAAGAGCCAGGTAATACATGTAAATATAATTCTGCATGGGGTGTAAAGCATAGCACATGTACGGCCATTTACAATATCAAATGCATACACATACACCTAAAACTGTACTCGGACAAGCTGGCCTACTTACAGTGGCTCCAAGACGGCTGTGAGCCACGCCTTGAATTGATCTGGATTCTCTATTATCATTTTCAGTGAATATGCGCTGAAAAACACATGGAACTCTTCAAAGACACGCGTTAATTACACAATTTCTGGGCGGGAATAAGTACTCTCCTAAGTAAAGACAGTCGCCATTCTGAAATCTCTCTCCTATACATGCAGTATTCACATAGATGAGATTTCATTTCTAGAAAATGTCACAGGAGTCGCTGGATGCAGCAGTGTATCAGATAAGTTAGGTTTCTCACTTTATCATTATAAACTGAGTTGAACATAGTTGTAATTGTAATATTTTAGGTCAGATTAGGTTTATTCCTTTCTTACTGTATTCCCCGAAAAGTGTTGTCTCAAAAGAAAGACATAACGACTACGGTTACGATATGTTTATAGCTTATGGCTATTTCTGAACGTAATCTTTTGGGTTGTAAGGATACTCTTACTTCATGGAATGCATGCACCATCCCAGTTTATTAGGGCTGACACTACATCCCTGATAAAATCACTAGGACAAGGGCGAAAAATATAATCATCCACTTCGCGCCGAGACGCGTCAGTTTGTCTTTGAACGTTGTATTTTTACATTTTACATTGGTTTACAAATTAAAATGTTAATTGCAATTTATGCTGGAAGATCGATCGATAAATCGGTAAGTAGCTTTTACTTCTTTCTGATAGAAAGCGCCACCGGTTCCTCTCGTTTCGGAAAATCGATCGATAAGTTGTTGAGTAGTTTCCACCATTTTCGAATAGAGGGCGCCACCCATTCACTTAACTTCAGAAAACCAGTCGGTAACTCGTCGAGTAGTTTCCGGTATTTTCGAATAGATGGCACAACGATCAAATTTTTAATCAGTCTACAAACCATTCAAAAAAATGATTCCGGCCATTTATTTAAAGTAATTGAATTGAAATATTATCAGTTTTATTACCCATAAATGTAAAAACAAAACAGTTGAAATCCAATAGATGAATTAATTTTATTTATAATAATAAATGAGTATATCGTTCATGTAATTTTATATTCATTCTTATACTGTAAATTTTTAAATCCTTTTTTTACTGTAAATTAATTAATATTACAATATAAAGAATCATTTCGTTCTATGTGCACAATTCCATTTCTTCTGAACCAGGAATTTGTTTATTTTTGTTATAATAATGAGTTATTATACCAGCACCTAGGGCATCACCAACGATGTTCAAAGTCGTTCTAAATCGATCGCTGAAGAAAATGTTATTTTATTATTATCAATGGATATTTATAGTTATATAAATACGAATGAAATGCTTACACAAACCAGTCAATGGCAATAATTAATGAAACGTCTTCTACGGGGACTCCCACGGAATTTAATACCATTATTAGCATTACATACCCGCCACTGGGTAAGCCAGCAGCTCCAATACACGATACGGTGCAAGTTATGCTATAAATGTTATTAGATATTATTGTATGAAAATTCCAATAAAGACATTATTATAATACAGACCTGATTATTATGACTTTGAACAACGAAAATTGTAATCCATGCAATTGAATAATAAAAATTGCCCCAATACTTTCATATAATGCTATACCATCCATATTTATGGTAGCACCAATTGGTACAATAAATCGACATATTTTAGAAGGCATTCCAAAACGTTCTAAGCATGATATTGTTATTGGAACTGTAGCTGTACTGAATTACAGTTTATTAAGGAAGAAAATAATTTAATGAGTTTAGTACAAATTGTAAGTGCAGTACTTGTTTCAATCAATTACCTGGATGATGTACCAAATGCAGTAACAAAAGCTGGTCCCAGTTTAACTATAATCCTATACGGAGATTGGCGGGTGCATATAAAATATATTAGAGGAAGTATTATTAGCCCTTGTATAAGTAAACCAGTGAAGACAGTTAAAATATAAATTCCCAGTCGTTTGATCAAACTCTCGAAATCTTCCACTTCAAGAATTTTAGCAGCAATAAGAAATAATGCACTTATTGGTACCAGCCTATTAAATATCAATTTTTGTATTAAAACTGTTCACTTTTATTACTATGTTTAATAATTAATAACTTTACATTATTGCCCAACTCATAATCTTCATCATTGCATCTGATAAAGATCGAAAAAAGTTAATCAAAGGTTCACCCTTTGTTTCTATTTCTCCAATAGCTAGGCCTAGAATTAAACTAAAGAATACTAGTCCTAAGACATTTGTTCCTGTTATAGTTGTATGATCTATTTGCCATTCATATATTGGAACTAAAAAGCCAGATTTCAATAGTCTTATGTATTTTGGGATTATTTATTTTGTTATATTATAATGTTATTTCGACATACCTGATTCATTTTTTGGCTTGACCAACATAGTTTGATACTGTAACAATGTATCACACATTTTTGTTTGTAATTTTAACAAAGATTGAAAAAAAAAAAAAAATACCATTACCTGAGATAAGCATGCACTCATTATATTTTCTGGTACCAGATTTCTATAAAATAGAAATAATAAAGATGAATAGCTAATAAAATTTAACAGTACTATGAATGTATGTGTGCTATAAATGAAATACCGAAATAGATCTAAAATTGTATCCACAGTCATGAAAGATTTGGTTGAATTTTGTGATATGATATTTTCATTTTTAAGTAATTCACCAGGTTTTATTGTTTGAACAAGTACAACACTTAGTGTTATTCCAAGCAACGTTGTTGTTGTATAATAGTATAATGCCATTGTCCCAATTCGGCCTATGTATTTAAAAAAAATTGATGAGTATCAAATGGTATTGATTTATAATAATGAAATTAATGTTAAATATTTTATATTTACCTGATTTTTTCAAGTTACACGTAGCACTCACGATGCTAGACATTACAAGAGGTAATATTAAGCAATTTACCATTCTCATAAATACTTCTCCAAGGAATTTAAGATACATTATATTTCGTTTGGACCATGGCTGAGGAGTACTAATTTTAAGAACAAGACCTATTGTTATTCCAGCACATACACCAGCAACAGTTCTTAATATTAATTTTTGTCTCAGTATTTTCTTCAACATTTTCATTATGCTCCGAAAAATGAATATATAACGTATCACTGTAATTTATCACAAATTTTAATTGAAATTTTCAATTTAGACTATTTTAATAGAAATATCAGTGCAAAGTTTTAGATTATTTTGTATATATCAAGGATGAGAATTCTTATCTGATAGACTGATGAAAGTAAATTTCTCTTGTTATACAGTATTCTGAAAAATATGACTTTATGAAATCTACTGTCTTATCTACAATGTTAGATGTATGGGAGGAACATTACTTAAAAATAGTGGATATTACCTTGAGAAAGATATCATGACAGTGGATGTATTTATGACCCTATTATAATCATGATGGAAGCTGTAAGGAGGTGCTACCTTTATCTGCTACAGTAAAATTCTTTTCCTTTATCTGTAACACATTTGATTGGGTATTATCGAACTGCGTCATTGAAAAATGTTGTTAAATAAATAAATGGGTAAATATCGATATTTTGCTTTTTATTTATTTTGCATCTATTACAATATAATAAATATGATCGTGCACAATACATGAAGGATGTGTATTTACACACGTTTTTAATTAATCTTCAGGCCATAATTTTACGTATTTGTAACTGAGTTTCACATTATATCGCTATAACCTTTTGTTTTTCTTAATTATTTAATATAATTTATACATATCTTTACAACTCTTTATCATCCTTTGAGTTAATCAATTAAAACATCACATTATGCATTTTATCTGCATCCAGTCTTCTGAAGGAAAATCTCATAACGTATTGTTCTTTTAAACTCATGACTATTTAATCCTTAAGGTTTCAATAATTAGTTCATCGCCGTTTATATGAAGTATTAGTGAGATCAATAAAGAATTTTTATTAACGTTACATTTATACAAAGTCATGTTTTGTAATGTTTACATTGCTAGATCTACATATTTCTCTATGCTGTTTAATATTTGGTTTTGTTTGTTTGTAATATTACGCATTATTCCTTTTTTTTTTTTCATTCTCATCTTCATCGCGATTCTTATAAATCTTTTGTTCATTTTTTAATGTGAGGTAATTTGATTTTGCTCAAATAAAAAGAGAAAAATTTATTTATTGACTTCCGCTTTTTGGTAATTACGATTCGCCAACCGCAATAACGGATTCCGGTATCCTGCTGAGGTGGTGGTTCAGACAATACAGCCTATATCACAGAAATGAAAATTTTCATTAGATTATCATTCTATTTATACAATGTTTTGCAATGAATTATTACGCAAATGATAAATAAACTCGACATGACGCAAACACACTAAAGTGGAGATTAGTGAGACCAGTTATTCTGAAAAGATTAGAATATTAAAATTGTTTTAAAACTCACGTTTGCTAATTCCTAATCTTATTGAAAAATTTAATGTTATATATAGTTATCTTTGATCATGCAAAATCGATAAGTTATGCTTTAGTAAAAAAGGAATACAAAGATCTACTGATACCACTTCCAAAACTGGACACTGTAGTATTACACAGTGTATAAGGATCAGCTACTTCTATTTATTTTTATATCATTTAATAAATTGAATGATCATTCGGATATTGTAGTATTTCAAAAGATCTAAGAACTTATCATTCATTCTCCTTCAAATTAAAACTGAAAATTGGATTAAATGAAATTCAAGGGATGGAAGTATTGAAAATTCTAATACTAAGTGTACGATTCAATAGAAAACATTATATATATATTCATAAAGCATAATGAAAACCGTGTGGTGCATTGTAAAAAAGAAAGAAGATATAATACACTGCTCTGATCGTTTATACAATCTTACAAGAACTGAAAGTTTCATTAGCTCTTCTATATTTTATTATTGTTTAACGATTGTTTAAATTACGTTGTTTTTTTTAGCACTAGAGATACTTTTAATTTGTGATCCTCAAAAATGAAACTGTATTAATACCTGTCCCTACAAAGGTGTTTCCTTTCGTGCCTCTGCTTTCCACTGAAATCCATTTACTCGCGTTGTAATTGGTTTATTTCTATTAGTTGCATTCTCAATTCCATTTCTAACACCTGCTACTAATCTCATGGCCGGGTTGGAAACCAAGCCATTGCGCTTTGGTTTTGCATTGCTCGCACTGCAATCAAACGTTATCATATTATTTTTATTAATACACAGTAAAGTAGAATAATCTTTTCGCAATATAAATAGAAATAAATAGAAATACCTGGCAGGCGTATGTTCAGAGGTATGTTTCACGCTTCTGCCAACACCAGCCCCACTGTTACCTAGTATTATCCTCATATGAGTGTCCCTAGTGAAGTGAGTATCAGCCGAGTTTCTCTTCTCGTCGAGGCCATTTTTCTTGTCTTTCGCGACACTTAAACCTAACATCTCGTTCGTCAGTTCGAACGGTTTGCTGATATCGTTCTTGTCGATGATCTCCGTCTTTATGTTAATAGGTTCGTAGATGGCTGAAGTATGATTGTATCCACCGATCTGAGCTTTGTACGGTACGTTCTGATTAGCGGTCAACAAAGATACTCCAAGCTGACTTTGTATCACGTTTGCCGCTGTTTGGGCACTCGGGGGACTGGTATTCGTGGGCGAGTAAGGTATAAGGCTGTCGCTCAACGGTGAATGAGGCGGCGATGCATAGATCGGACTTTGGGGTTCGCTTTTCAAAGGCGACAATAATTTGCTCAGCGGACGACTCTTCGCTCCCCTCGAGCATTGTTGCAGTTGTTGCGTGAAAGATAATGGTGTCTAAAATTATAGGAGTCAGATAATGGCTTGCTCTGCGTGGATCCGAAGCTTGTGTATAGATCGCCTTAATCTTTACATTTAACGAGACTATAATTAGGTACAGCTTGTACTCGAGAGAAAGAAATCGAAATGAAGAGTGATTGAAAATAAAAACGATCTGTACACGAGTGCATAAGAAAAGAGAATGGATAATAAAAACATGCGGATAAGTTAATGAAACGTAATGGATGATCCCATTGGAAGTGGTATCGGAGGTCGAAGATTCTCCAAGTACAGAGTTAATGGAAATAAAAGCATTAAGAAACATCACTGTTACCTACTTTGATTACCTGATTCACCATCGAATTCTGATTGAATTTTCCTTGATCGCTCTTAGTGCTGCCCGTTAGATTGCTACTTGATTTACTGTTGCTAGAATTATTGCCGAGGGAAACGCAGCTTCGTCTCTTCGTGGAATCTGGCGATTCGGCTGGACTGTACTGTGTCGATAGAGGATTTAAAATTGCGGACGATGGTTTCGTTTCCGCTGTCGAGTTTGATGTTACCGAGGTAGCACTGCTACTACCACCTGCGATACAATATAACGTTGAAGGAATCTGAAAATCTTGTTCTACAATTTATGTACATTAAAATAAACGGACCTCCATTAATGCCGGGTCTCAGACTTCGTTGATTAGCCGAATGTTCCTCTAGTAGCCTGACCACAGTGTCGTGGCCACTTTTGGCGGCCACTTTGATCGCATTACGACCACAGTGATCAGAATGGCTAGGATCCGCACCGTGATTCAGAAGAGCTCGTACACAGTGTTCGTGACCTTCTTGTGCAGCGATACCTGAACCGTGTATGATTTTTCATTTATCCGCATAGTTTGACAATGGTTGTACAAAATTTGGACGCGCGTTTTACCTAGAGCAGTTGCGCCTTGATTACAAGTATGATCAGGAGTAGCCCCGTGTTCCAGAAGCAATCTAACGATAGCAGCATGGCCTTGCCAAGCCGCTGAATGAAGAGGAGTTCTGTTCTCGTTGTCGCAGGCGTTCACACTGGCACCACCTTCGGTTAACAGTAGAGCAACCATCTCCACGTGTCCTTGCCAAGCACTCACGTGCAGAGGAGTTCTTCCCTGGAAGATAATGTAAAATTTATGCATTTCAAGATTTCTAACTCATAGAAATACCAAACTGAAAAGGCATAAACTTATTAAAACTCTGCTTACTTCCGAATCTCTACTTTCCACGTCAGCGCGAGCGTGTTCCAACAGAAACCGTGCCATCGCCAGTCTGTTCTCCAAAGCAAGAATATATAGGGTGCTTCTACCATCAGCGTCTTTTGCGTTCACGTCTGCGTTGTGAGCCAACAGTACTCTGACAGTGTCGTAATGCCCTTCTAACGCCGCGACTCTACAATCATTTGTTTTCTTCATAAGACATTTTGCAAATTGAAATAACGTTGTTACCTGTTGATTAGAGTAGAACAACGATATGGTGAAATTACCTAAGAGCTGTTTTCCCATCGTGAGCATGTTGATCGATGGGTGCACCATGTTGTTCCAGCAATCTTTCGACCAGAGTAGCGTGACCCTCTTGCGCGGCAAGCATCAAAGCACCCTTTCCATCGTTATCAGTTTCGTCGATCTTAGCTCCAGCTTCCAGTAGAGCTTCGCAAACGTCGATGTGACCTTCGAACGCGGCGTAGTGCAACGGTGTCCAGCCAGAATTATCCCTGTGTTGTTCATCCAAACCTGTAAACGATTGAAACGATAAATCAACCGTGCACAGAGAGTATCAAGTTACAATGGAAGATATCTTGTACCTCTGTCTAATAATTGTTTTACTACGTCAGTGCCACCCTGTGCAGCGGCCACGCTCAAAACGGTTCTGCCCTCGTTATCGATGCTGTCAACGTAACATCCCCAGAACAACAGAAGAGCGACCACCGATCCGTGGCCCATGCTGGCGGCTGCCCACAAAGGTGTGCGTCCAGTGGCATCGCAATGGTCCACGTCTGCCTCGTATTCCAACAGCAACTCGCAGACGTCTCTGTGTCCTTCAAATGCAGCCACTAACAACGGAGTCATGCCATCTTTGTCTTGGTGATCAACAGCGGCACCCCTTTCTAACAGTATTGTAACAACCTGTGAGAAAAGATTAACATTCATTAATTCAATTGCAAGTACATTACAGGTTAGAGGCGATAATCTTGAAGCTTTCAAAGCACCGTTTGTCACCGATACAGTGTATTCTTCAACTCCTGATGAAGCTATAATTGATCTAAGCTCAGCTGGTTGCTCAATGTCTCTATCTTACTTTTTAGATTTGATCATTCTGGATGAAGAAGAGCGGAGAGCAGAGTAGGAAGAAAGAAAGTGGGTGTTAAGATAGGAAGGTAACTAACGAAGAGGCAGAGGGGAGTCAAGTTGTAAACGGAGACGCGTAAAGCTAGAAGCAAAACTAACTTTTGCATAACCATGATTGGAAGGAACGCATAGAGCAGCTACACTGAGAGCAGTCCTTCCATCGCTATCAGCATGATCGATCTCCGCGCCGAAGTCTAGAAGGTGTTCGACAATCTCGCTGTGACCCATGTAGGCAGCAGCAATTAAGGCGGTTCTGCCCTCGTCATCCGTTCTGTTGACGTCGGCGCCGTGCTGCAGAAGTGCTTTAACGATGTCCTCGTGGCCACCCCACGCAGCTGCTCTGAGAGCGGTTCGTTGATCCCAGTCAGCGCAATCCACCAATGCTCCGTGCTCCAACAGCATTTCGACCACCTACGCGATTTTATTTTCGTATTTTATATTACCTCAGACTTGAAATTTCTGTTAACCTTTTCAATCTGACGCTTCACACGACCCGTGAATAATTTCGTTACATCAAATCTCACAAAACTTGCTTGATACAGAGAATTTGTGTGTAGGGTCAGAAGGGTGAAATGGTAAAATATTAGAAGTTAAAGTGTTAGAATATTAAACGTTCGTACGTTTTAAGATTTACTTAAAGACTATCCAATGCCCATTCGTGATAAAATGTTCTTCTACTGGCATTCAAATATAGATTGAAGAGAAGTGGCATAAATTATCCATACATCAATTACAAGTATTCTTTAAGTAAATATTAAAGAAGTACTTTGAAGAGTTTCTAAGGAATAATCACCTGAGTGTGTCCACCCCAAGCAGCAGCTCTAAGGGCTGTCCATCCATCGCAGTCAGCATGATCAGCGCAAGCTCCAGCAGCCAAGAGTACTCGGACCACGTCTGCGTAACCATGTCTGGCAGCAAGATTCAAGGGTGTTTGACCATGACGATCGGTGGCTTCCAATTTAGCCTGAACATTTTTATAAAACGACAGATGGTCTCGGTAAGAAACTACTTAAGATGTTAAGATGCTTTTCTTTTAAAGATTGCAAGTGTTTACCTGAGGACACGTTGCTAAAGCTAGTTCCAATAGAGATGCATTACCGTCTGCAGCAAGCGTGTGCAGCACTGTACGCCCGCAAGAATCAGCTTGATTGATGTCTCCGCTTTCACCGAGCAGTTCTGTTAATGGCTCGCTAGGAGACTCATCCATAGGGCTCACATCTTGCGAGACCTTTTATAAGAAACAAGGTAATCGTTATACAAATTTCATCTGTAATCTTATCTATTGTCTTGGAATTTCATAGCCGTTATCAATCAGAGATATATACGTTACACGAGAGAGAGAGGTTACATCGTAAGAAGAGAAAGAATCACCTGACTAGAAGAAACAGCATCCTTATTGGTGTCGTCTTCGACGACCTTTTCGGATGGCTTGGCGCCTGCATCGATCAGTAGTTTCAGCAGCTTCGCTTCCTGCCTAGGCCAGAGGATGCATTCGGAGCTATCCAAGTAACATTCCTCGATAGGTGCTCCGCTGCCGATCATCCAGAGCACCTGGAGCGTGTGCACGTCTAAATTACAGTTGGTGGTCGCTACGCTGGTGATAGCTCTTTGGAGATGTTGTCCCAACACGCAGATCTCGTCGGGATTGAGATCTGGACCGCGAAGAGTGTAGTAAGCGGCCAGCATCGCGTGTCCTTCGACAGCCGAGCAGAGATATTTCTGCGTGCAGTGTTTCACGTCCAGCAACCATTCGGCGAAGCTATGATGGAACAGCATCAACGCTCCGGCACGGGATACCGAGATGACTCTTCGTAGAAGATGCAAACGTCGATTGAAATCCTCGATTGTGATACTGACGCAGGCTGTCTTGACGCATTTGTAGAGGATCTCCTGGGTGATCGGGAGTTTCGCGGCTAGGATCACGTTCAACAACGGTTGTACTTTGGCAAATTGCTTTCTGCTGAAGAGTCTTTGACACAGCCAGAGGTAGAGACCGTTCAGGGTGCCTGGTATCTCTCGAACCTCGCGTAGCACGATGAAGTTCTCGGCTACGCCGTCGAGAACCTTCTCCAGGTACAGGAAACAACCGTTGCTCTTGATGTGCAGCTGGTTTAGCATCTCGGCTGTGTCGCGCGAGATGTGCTGCCTGATAGAATAGAACCAAAAACTCTTAGATTTATAGTAGAACCTTGTACAACTTGAAGACATAAATAACGCCTCCAATAACGCTTTGCAAGCATTCCATCGTACCAATTAAAGCTTAATTAATCTATTTACACTCACCTGAGCGCATCTTCTTGATCCAACCGCGCAAGAATGTACTGTTGAACGTCTCTCACAACCTGCGACTTTCTAAGATCGTCCAACGAGATCTTCCTGAAGCCGGTGAACATGCGGGAGATGGTTTTGCTCTGACGTCGAGCAGTACATACCAGCAACAGCCATTGAGGGAACAAGTGATGGTGATTAGCTAGCAGTTCGGCAATTGTTCTACTGACATTTTCGTTCTCCCTTCTGGAGTCTCGGGTGCCGGTTTGCGGAGGATTAAGCGTTTGACCTTCGTCGATCGAATCGACTAACAAGAATAAACAACTTTTCGGTGGCTCAACCTCTAACAGGGGTATCAGTAGAGCCTTTTTCAAAGCGTCATCGGGATCACGGTCGAGAACGTCCGGTTGCAACGCGGCCTGTATATCCGGATCTGTCCTGAGTTTCTCGGCGTACGCTTCGGCCACGGCTTCCCTCGAAGTTAGAGGAACCGTGGTGGTGGTGTTGGTGGTTGCGGCGGTACTGCTCGGTGTTGGCGAACTTGGAGAGGCTCTGCAAGAATACAATATTTTTCTTTATTAAAAACATTTATTATGTATTCCGATAAAGGAAAACAAACGAATCGCTAACCTATGAATACCATCGGAGCTAGCCTGTAGAAGCTGAGCAACCAAGGATCTGACGAATTGCGCAGGAGACAAGGATGCCTCGCTTCTAGCCTGACAGAAGTGCCTCGCGAGCAGTCTCCTGTTCAATGACCTTTGATGTCTAGCATTGGCACCGCTCGATGGCCATGCTAATTCGGCGCAAAGAGCCGTCTTCCCACTTCCTGGACCACCAACGATCAGAGCACCGCAGGTCTTCGATGCCGGCCTCTGTTCCAAACAGTGGGACAGCTTGATGAACGCCCATTCACGGCAGAAGAACCGTTTCTTCTCTATCACCGGTGCAGCCATGTTCCCGTTCTTCTTCTTTCTATCCTTTCTTCAATCGTACAACTGAATCGTCTGTTTGTTCCTTTGATTCACCGTCATATTAAATAGAAGCATGTGCGTAGGGAGGACGAGGAGGCCGTCTATGGGTATAGGCAAAAATCGTTTTCGAATGTGTAAAGCTTGACGATGTCCAAGGTTTTTCGTTGATCGACGACACAACGGCAAGCTGGATAGATTCGCGTTTACGCGGATATTAGCTGGCGGTTCGGGTCTAGATTGGCTTCGAGCTGGTGCGGCTACGATTGATCTCGGTGCAGACGGACGAGGGAAGATTGGTCGGAGCCCCAGGGGGCTCTGAGGATTCCTCGGCCTCCATTCAGCCTTCTCATAGCCTCGTTGCGAACGAGCACCGCGTCTCGTATCGCTGCATTCTAACTGAAACACCAAAAGCATACACCGTTTATTGCACTCCCCCGGGACGTGTATCTAACGTGAAATCTGTATGCCTGAATTTTTCATATTTTTCTGGGTACTCGTTTACATTGGAATTATTATACTTGGTATAAAGATTATTTTTTCTATTCTTTTATTAAAATTCAAATTGGATTTCACATCGGGGAGAAGCTCGTTTATCTCTGAAACAGAGTTCATCGTAGCTAATGTTAACACGCTCGTCGGATACAGTGCATTTAACACGGCACTTGGGGGCGAAAGAAAGGCAGAGAAACGGTGTGTCGCGACTAATGGAAAGCTTGAATTAGGTTTCCAAATTGCACGTTAAATGATCTGAAATTCGTATTAAACGGGCGTAATAATTGTCTGTTGGTGGGCGACAGGTGGGATGAAATTACGAGAGGGAATGCTCGAGTCGAGGGAAATACGCGGAAGGGTTAATGACAAACTAGTCCCACTAATGAGAAGGAGATACCTAGATCTCTCGTCGTCTGACTTTTCTAATTATTAGTACCGTGTTTCCACTTGCCGTCAGCTGAACCGATTGTCAGCGAAACAGAAACGTGCTTATCAAAATGTTTGCACAAACTATTTAGTAATTAGAAAAAGAAAAAGAAAAAATGATGGAATCTGGAATATCGTTGAAGATGGAATGGAACGACGAGATTGGATCTGTTCAAAGTCCCCGAGGTCTTCTGTTCACTAGGAATTTAATGAACACGGTGGATCGGCTAGACAAGCTGGCCAAATACGGAAGCCACTGTTCGCTGTCAGTCTAAAATGGGTCAAGTCTGCCTTGACTTAGCTTCGTATGAATTTTAAACAGTGCACAGCTGGATAGCGATCTTCTGCGGCATTACTTGCCCGGTTTTAGAGTAGCGCCAGTCATAGTTTCTCCTTTGTCGAACAGATGTTTCAATGCTAATCCTCTGCAATGTTAACGAGCCAATAGTTGATCACCAGCAATTCTTCGGTTTATGGTTAATTACCTGGACAGGTGGGATTCCAGTCATAGCGATGGCTTGGAAAGTGTTAGTACCATTTAATGATTCGAAGTGAAATTTCTGTTTAATTAAAATTTCGTTTCAACGAAGACGTATCAACGATGTCTCGATGAGAAAAATTGCAATTTAAGTAATTTGTTTAATAGGGTAGCTATTCCCTTGGAAAATAAGACATTCGAATTCGTTATTTGCCGTTTAAAAGCGTCTGGGGAGACGCGTCTCGTCGGTATACGTTCGTGATTTCCACAATGATTTTAACGAACCTCCGTGGAATCCTCGAATGGAGAGAGATCCTGTGCCGCGAAACGAAATTTCCCCGGATTCGCACGTTTTAATTGCTGTAAATCTGTCCCACGTCGGCCGTGAGAGGTCTGCGAAAACGTGAAAGTGCGTTTTCCCTTGCCACTCAGCCCCCGTGTCTCGGCTTTTCTCACGACGATCAATTGTTCCTCTTATTCCCTTCCCGGCATCGTTCAGAAATGCAATTAAAATGTAGCCGATCGTCGAGATTCGTTGACGACGATTTCAACTGGTGAGAAAAGAGGAACACACGAGAAAATGTATCATTTGCATTTTTAAATAATTACTGATGTTTCATTTTTTAATTTATAAAATTATTATATTTAATGATGAATCTTTACGGTTAACAAGGTGGAATTTCTTTTTTCTTTTTCAAATTACTCGAGAAGAGGACATTTCTAACACTCATCTTCCGAGCTGCTTGCAGCAACGCTCTTTCATTAAATGCTTATTCTAAGCTCTCTCTTCTCACTTCGCACGCTGTATTTCCCTCTCGAGGTTACGTTGAATACCTCCAAGAACACTTGCCCCCTTATACATGCACTCGTAGCCACCGTTCTATTGTCGCTAATCCTTATTTCTAAATATTATAACGCGTTCCAAGCTGCGATTCACCCAGTGCAATTATATGAATATTCGTTATCGTACCATCTGTCGACGAAATTACGCTCTGATTTAAAATATCTCTTCGTTTCGAAATTTATATTCATAGCGATCAAAATCCCAAATTACCTTCGATTTAAACACTCGGAGCAATTTATGATTATATACTGATCGATTAGACAACGTCAAATTACACTGGCAATTGGGAATTAAGATTTAATTAACCGTTTGTACATACGTCAGAGCGCGTCAAAGCATACACCAGTCGCTCATATGCGTATCTATTAGGGTTAAATATTAATTGCCTCCCTATAGATACCAAGGATCCATCCGGAGGGTCTGGTTCCTTTATTTTCACTGGAACTTGGATTTTTCGCCTTCAGTGCCATTAGACGGATCGAATTCGGACTTAAAACCTTTTCTACCAATAATTTATGATAATTAAAATTTCCGTAAAGTGTCGAAGAACCAAGAAGATACACAAAGAATCCCTTTATTATTTAACAAAACCCTGGTCCCGGAGCGTCGGGAGCAGGGACATGACAGTCATCTTGAAAACGTCGCCCGGTAATTTGCGTCGACTCCGTTTACCTGACAAATTGCTTTAATTACGCGGCGGTCTAGTTAATTCCCGACTCGATTCACGCGGCGTTGGCGCGGAAGAAGAAGGAGGAGGAGGAGGAAATAAAAGAGCGGGGACAAAAAAGAGCCTCCAATAATTATGAATAGTTGTAAAGCGATGGTGCACACGTTTGTTCCTCGATTTCTATGGGCATCGACGTTTTGAGAGTCGGGTCACCTAATTACTACAAGGCTGGAGGTTCGAGCGTTTCACGCTTCGTTTGCTGCTTGTCTCGCACGAGCGTTGGACATTGTTCTCTTGCACCGGCTGGTACATTGCGTTCCCGGTTAATGTAATATGCTGTTAATTACCTGGCTAGTCGATGAATTCTGTCGAGGTTCTGTGTTATTTCTTTTTTCGATGAGCACCTATTGATCGGTGACAGTAGTTGGTTCCAGGTTTAATCATGAACAGTTTTTCTTTCCCTTTTTTTTTTTTTTTTTTTTATCTATGACATAGTCAATGGAACTATTGAATGGAGCTTAATTAGTCGTAGGTTAATCCTTTCGTTTTTATAGATTTTTCATAAATAATTCATAGGTATGTAATTAAAATTCTTACATCGCTTAGAATGAATAACGGGTAAAAGTTGCAGATTCAAAGGCAGACGAAACAAAACGAGAAAATCGAGTTGGATGGTTAATAGAGCTAGGATGAAATGGAAGAAGATGACGGGGGAATGAGGAGAGATATTTCGAACAATGAGGATCAAAGACTGTACGCGGTGAAGGAAATCGAGTCGAAGTTACACTGGCGGAATGACAATGCTCGTTCCACTTTGAATTCGTTGGTTAATAAAGCGGTGCATTCACCTGCCGGAGGTGGTAAGACCAATGGGGAACGCGCAAATTGAGACGTCTCACCTGAATGGGAAACACGGGGCCAGGCTAGCAGGCCTCGACGCTATTATCACTCGATGAGAGTCAATTTTACACTGGACTGACGGCAATTCAATTTCACAGTGGATCTGTCTTCCCGATTTACCTGAGAAACGTGTTTAGAAATTGTCATCTGGAAATTCTATCAAATTCACGAGGAACACTTTGATGAAAATTAATACATCATTAAATAAACGAAATGTTAATCTTTGAAAATAATTTTCGTTTGATTCATTCATTTTTATATAATCGATCCTAGAAAAATGGAACCTGAAATATTTTTTTTTTTTTATTTAGAAAACTAACTTCCATCGATCAAATCCGTCGACCAGTCGTCGCAATTAAGCCCCGTCGAAAAATTATTCCGCTGTCATAACTCTTGATCCACTTCTCTTCTCTGTAAATCAAAAACAACCAAAAAAAAAATATGGTAGTTAACCAGTCTAACTGGATTCGATGATGAAAACGAAGAGGCATTGTATTCAATTGTCAGGACCTCTTTCCCTCTGTAGGGCTGCAATCAGTCTAATACCTCGAAACCCGTTAATTAAATCCTCTTCTTTTATTTCTTTTTTTTTTTCCTACCCTCGTCTGGACGTTTGTTTGGCCACGATTTACCATGGCTGAGCAGATTAGACTCGAGAATGGTAAATCCTGACCAACGATGCACATTATGGAAATTTTTATTTTTCATAACCCTTCTTCATCGACCAACCATGAATTCCAACGCGGTGGAATTCCACTGAATTCCATCCTTTCCAACCCCCTAGTAACGTGTTTTTAATTAAACGATAACTTGATGGTACTTCGTCGCTATTGAAACAATCCCTAGCCATGAGATTGAAATACTTATTCATTAGTAATAAAATTGTAAATGTAACTGAATATTTTCGAAAATGAAACGTTTAACTCTTTCGCAAGCAATGCTTCGAAAATATATCTCGATAAATAATCATTTGAAATTTTCTACGGCTCATTTATTTTCTTCTTTAACCGTCACTTACATCATTAACCATTTCAACTCAATTGATTAATTAGCAAACACGTATCCGAGTGACGCGTGAACGGTCGCGCTTCTCGTCGTTAATTAATTATCGCGCTCGATTCAGCGCTGCCAGGTAAATCACGGCCGGTATTAATTATAATTGGAAATGAAACGATAATGGTCTGAGGGAATCCTTACGTCTCTATCGATGCTAGAACGTGTTATCCGGAGAAATATGTTGCTTCTGTCGTCGATCGATCGCGAACCACCCTGATAAAACGGGAGGCCAGCTAAATAAATAGCCCTATTATCTCTTTCGATCTTATCGTCGTCTATTGTAATAACAATAACCCGGGTGATTATTAAACGAATAACGACGGAAATATGCAAGCTGTTTAATGATTCTCGTTGGATATTCAATTGCGGAGGTAGGCAATTTTCGTGAATAATGTTATTGCAACGTGAATGGGGCTAGCGTTCTCCAATTCATGCAATTATAACAATGAAATAGTTAAATAATAGTGTTACTTTGCGAGGAGGGGGTTGTGGATTTAATTTAATCGATTAATACTAGAAATAGACTTGTCGAG